TTTCAATTTTAGAAGTTACAGAAAGTCTTTTAAGTGTAGGTGTAGTCTTCTAGTTTGTTCTTTTCAAGATTGCTTTGGATATTCTCATTTCTGCACATATTTTAGAATTTGCTTTTCAATTTCTGTAAAAAGAAATGTTGAGATTATGATGGAGATTGAGTTGACTCCATAGATGAATTTGGGGAGAACATATATCGTAAAGGAATAAATTCCTCCAATATGTGATCATAGTATATCTCTCTATTCTCATCTTAATTTCTCCCAGTAATGTTTCAGATTTGAAATTCTGCATATTTAAAAAAATTTGTTTCCTAATGTTTTGGTTTGAATGTTGTCCCCTCTTTCCCTCCTTTTTTCCCTCATTTCCTTTGTCTTCCTTTCCTCTCTGTGAGGAGAGGTCTGGGAGGAGGTGATGGATACCTCAGGGAACAGCATGTAACTTTGTAGTATGCTAAAGTAGTTCTTGAAAAATAGGTAGGAGAGGACCTTGTGTTAGTTAGGTTAGGCAGGTTGGTGGGGTCTGAGCTGTACTTACAGCCCCAGGAAAACATTTAATAAGTGACCTCATGTATTTAATGTTTGTCCAAAGTATACACTAGTGTTGGCTCAGTGCTTGTGATTCTTTCTTTTTTAATTGAACTAATACTTCAATTATATTCTACTATAAAAATATCCTACTGTAGTTCAGATTTCTGGCTTCTACTGATTAAAAACATTTTTGACCTGCATTTCCATACATGCAGCCCTCAGAGATTAGCTATGCACTGCTGTTTACCTCCTATTCCTTATTTCTCAAGCCTGGCTTCAGTTGCCAGTTCTTGTGTTTGCTTTTCTGTACTTGTGGGAGCTGTTCTGAAGTTTAATGATAAAATGTATCTTACATCCTCAGCATTGTGCCTGACACCATAAATCTCAGTGTAAGGAAGCTGTTCATTTTGTTATAATGATAATATATGGTGTACATTGCTATATATATTAACATTGTATAAATGTGTGGTGTTATCACTTCTGTGTGCATGAAGCTGAGGTTTGATTCGGCCCCCAGCCTCAGGACAGGTGCAGTAAAGGCATAACAAAGGTACAAGCCATTTTCTTAAAAAAAGAAAAGGTCTCAGTTTATTTTCTTCTCACGTGGTAAGGATCTCATTGGGTAATCTATCAGTATAGACAAAATCATTTCTCTTCAGCGCCAGTAGTATGAGACTAAAGAAAGAGGACACAGCAGAGCTTGGTGTTCCTGGTATGTCAGCACATGCCTGTAATCCCAGCTGCTCAGGAGGCCGATTTAGGAAGAGAGGGTCTTAAGCAAAGAAAAAAGCAGGGGTGGCAGGCTGTATATGTCACAGTGGTAGGTGCCCTTGGCTTCCATCCCTGTTACCACTATAATAAAAAGTGGTGTTCTCCAAATGCTGCTGGAGTGACCCCAGAGAGGCTACTGTTACACACGTCAGCCTGTGCCTATGGTTGGTGTGTCAGGAGAGCAACGTGTGGAAAAATTCAAATCGTGGTAATCACAAAATCAGAGTATTCATTGAGAAAATAATACTTACCAATTAATTAGCCCAGTTGTTGTTGTTGTTGTTGTTGACATTAGGTCTCATCTAGGTCTCCTTTAAGAAGAAGCTGCTGATAAAAGCAGAAGTCCTTTCTAGAAAAATAAAGAAGGTGAAGTACGTGTTTTAGGCTTTGTGGACCGTATATCCTCTTTCTTATCTTTTCCTCCCGTCCTGCTGTCTTCCTGTAAAAGCATCTTTCTGTAGATGGCTGTTACAGTCCTGTGGGCACAGATAAATGATTGTAGCAGTGTCTTAGTAAAACTTGGCATTCACAAACAGACAGGAGCAGCCACATTTGACATGTAGATGATGCATTGCTGATCTGCTAGATTGGAGTGGTAATCAGCAACCACTCACTCACTGTTGCCTCCTCTCTCATGGGATATACACCTAAACACACCCTGGGACATGTTTTGGCCAAGTTAATGTGATCAAACATAATATGTGCAGGGGTTTTAAATGCATGTATGTGGTATGACTTATGCTCTTGCCATTTGCCCTGACAAGAGCCTGCCCTAGGTCTTCTTGCTCAAGGAGGCTGATCCATGGGGCAGAGCTGGACCAACACAGTCTGAAACCAAACTTTGCTGTTCACAGCCTGAAACAGAACTGTTCAACTGAGCTCCACTTAGATCTAGAGAATTTCCAGCCACTCGCAGACAGACCTGTGAGCTTTAAGCCAACAAGTTTTGATTAGTTTGTTAACCCTACATTATTATAGAAAGAACTGGCTGGTATTTTAGTACAGAGGTGGAAAGTTCCCCTCCTTTAACATTAAGCAGTTAAGACTTGTGTCCCTTTTTCAAAAACCAAAGCAATAAAAGCGAATTCTCATCTTCTTACCCTCCCTGTTCTGCCCCCATAGTTGGAGTGAATCTCGAATTGTAGATTGAGCTTCTTGTGGATACAGCTAATCAGTATGTAACGCTGTCTTTAGAGAGGCATTGCTTTCTTTAAGCCAACCCCAGGGAAGATCTTCAGACTTCATACAAGGATTGAATATGTTGTACTTCTGAAATGACATATTAGAGAATATGCAAGCTTTTCCTGAGAACTGAGCACTTGTACTCTTCTCAGTTTATCAGAGATTTTGTGAGCCTACTTACTCTGGGCTAGTCCATGGGCAAGATGGTAGCCGGAGCTTATTCAGTTGGTAATTTGCTTTGTTCCTGCTGTCCGCCATGTATTGTGCGAGTCCGTGGTCAGATACAAGGTCCTCAAGGAGTACATGAGCTGGCAGAAGAGGCAGACAAGTAAGTGCATGTGAAGTTCGGCATGGTAACCAGTATTTTAAGTGATTAGCAAATAAAGAGAAGGCTACATTGAATCCTGGGGACGGCTATTCAGACCCCTAACGAGAGAACATTTGCATTCAGTTCCTTCTGTTCTATATATAGTACTTACAAAATAAGAAATTTAAAGAATGTGGAAAGAAGAAGAATCATAGTTTCATGAGCCAGGGGATAACCATTGCTAACATCTGCTACCTTTTATAGGGTGTATTCTTTGACACATTTGGATTATGTTAGAGTTTTAACATACTACATGTATGTATTCCATTAAATAGAAGATTTTTCATCTAGTTATAATCCATGCACTTTCCTAAGTCATTGTGTTTCTTAAGCATCCATTTTAGTCAATATGCTATGACTATACTATGATTTATCTAGTTATACCCTATTGTTAGATATCTAGGTTGTTTTCCAACTGAAACTATTATAGATACATTATGAAAAAGTCTTTGTAATAGAGATTGTCACCAAAAGGTAACACACTCTTGATGTTTGGACATGTACAGAAGTGTGAAGCATTTTAAATAAAAAAAAGGATGTTTCCAAGCTTGGGTTCAAGCCTCAGGATTGCAGAATTAAAACAGGCAAGGTAGCCTGTCTAAGATGGAACCTAGATGAATGTAGACATTTCTGCAGTGATACATTCTTAATTAAAAAGCAATGCAGCTAATTCTTAAGTCAGTCTAATCTATTAGTAACTATTTAAAAGTCTAAAATTGTAAATCCAATAAATTGTATAGAAACCTGAACAAATTCACAATTCAAGAAGTGGGAAACATTTTGAATGTTTTACCAGTCAGCATCCTATGAAAACTGCCAACTGCCTGCGTCAATAAATTATCATTAAGTGAACAGGGCATGTTACCACTGCTCAGGGCAGGAGACAGAACTTTCCTAAGTCTCCGGAATTCACCCCTACTGTGGCTTCCATTCCCTTTTCCCTCCCACTTCCTCTAAGGTAACCACTAACCTGACCTCTAATGCTATAATAGTTTTCCTTTTGTGTGTCTGTGTGTTAGTTAATTTCCTTTAAATTTTCTAGAAGTAGAGTTACTAGACCAAGAGGTATGACTCTTTTAAATACCTTAGTTCGTATAATTAGTTTTTAAAATGTATCATTTTACCATTATAGTAATAAAAGTATGGAAAGGGCTTTTTATTCCTAAGTGTGGAAAAGGAGAGAAATCAAGGGAAGAAACAAATTAAGACCCAAATGAGGCCATTTTCTTTCAGGAAATCTCAACACTCTCTGAATTGTTTTCACTACCTTGAGGTTGCTCTTTTCTATCTGGCTCTTCTCGCTGGCAGTAAGAGAGGTGAGCCTGTTGAACCATGCCCTGGTCTTGAAGACTTCTGGACAACAGTAGCATAAACATGTGCCCACATTCATGGTTGCAAAAAAACACAAGTTGCACAGAGCCAGAGCATCACGTTAGGAAGGGAAACTGGAGTAACTGGCAGGTAGTGATACTGTCTGTTCTGTTATTTTGCCCCGACTTTGAGAGAATCAGATCATTTAAGATTACCAGTCTTTTTTCTTAGTGTAAAGCACTTCCTGGCCTTGGAGGAACCTGCGACTCACACAGGACTACAACTTCTATAATTATCAGTCAGGTGGTTGTACAGCAGTGGACTCTTTGGGGCGTGAATACTTCCAAGAAGAGGCTCAGAAATATGATTATTTATTAAGAGGCTGTGGAGGAGATGCTAACTTCAGCTTGTTGTGTATGTTGGTGGAAAATGGCTCCTCATTAGGAAACCAGGTGTTGAAGCTAGTTACAATTCTGTTTGCATGCTCTGGGAGTGTGCTCGAACATGTTCCCTAGTCTGCGAGTAACTCCACAACACTTAGGGCTGTGGGAGTTTCCCAGGAGACTTGCTCCAGGTTATCAGGGCACCTTTCAGTTGTGCGTAATACTCTATGTCCACCCTTCCTTACCTTAAATTCACTTTCTTTTTATTGCTATGCTTCTCTGAAACACTGCTTTGCAGTGTAAATTGAGAACACCAACTGTTATTTCACTCTGTCTTCCTCAAGACACGAACAGTGAAAACACTGTTGTGCAGCTCTGCGTGGTCTCACAGTGGTGACGGTAGCGTGGTTGTGGTAGGTGAGCTCCCTCATGGCCTGTTTCCCTTTTGTTTCCCGCAGGTCTCCTCTCTAGGGATGGTGGAATTGGGAGAGGCTCCTTTAACCCTCCTGTGGGATGCACCCCTTTCCAGGAGACATGGAGAACGCTCTCACAGGGAGCCAGAGCTCCCACGCTTCTCTGCGCGATGTCCATTCCATCAACGCCACACAGCTCATGGCCAGGATCGAGTCCTATGAAGGAAGGGACAAGAAAGGCATATCTGACGTCAGGAGGACTTTCTGTTTGTTTGTCACCTTTGACCTCTTGTTTGTAACATTACTGTGGATAATAGAGTTAAATGTAAGTTGACTTTCTATGACTTTATAAAAAATGTTTTCAGAGACAGAAAACAATTTTTAAAAAAATTTTTCTGTCTCATTCAGTGAATAACATCTTTTTCCAAATGAAGCAACATTGCTAGGGGCATGGAGGATTTACACAGTGATGTTGCCCAGTAATTGTGTAGATCAGTAGGGTCCAATACAAATATAATGCAGAATTTTAACCTCCTCATTGCCAAAGGAGGCCCCCTTCCCAGCAAAGGGTATCTGCTCCTTCCTCCCCAGCAGCCCGCTTCACTCATGGCCTCACCCTCCTCCTCCCACTCTCATAGGAGAACAGGCTCCATTGTCCTGGGGCCTCTGTACTAGTGGCTTCCTCTGTCTTCAATGATTCATTTCCCTTATTCTTTTGAATACGCTGATATCCTATCATTGCTGATATCAGATTAAATGTCACCATTATTCTGCACACTGTTCTTCTGTTTTCTGTCTCACTTCCTAATTTGTCATTTCTCTTGCCTCGCTAGAGTGCAGACTCCTGAAGACAGAGACGTTTTGTTTGCTGAATATTTCCTGTGCTTAGAACGAGGCGCTCAGTAGGTGCCCCGCAGGTACTTGGCGAATGGCCAGAGATGTTGGTGGCAGTGGTGAGCAGCTCGATTGATAAATTAGGGACAGAGGACAGTGAGCGCCCTGACTCAAAGCTATTAAAGGCTGCTCTGGAGGAAGGGGGAGAGGGAGGAGGCCCGCTGAGGAGTAGTAGCAGAGGCTTCATATAGGAAATGTCATCTACCCCAGCATAAGGGTGTTTCCCAGGTGCTGAATTATAATAGAATCTAGAGAAGCAGTGTGGGCTACAGTTCCCTCATCCCCTGTGTGTGTAGGACCAGGAGTGTTGCAAATTTTGAAATTTTTTTTATTTACCTGAATACATAATACATTTGAAGATGAGACCCAATTTTAAACACAAAATTCATGTACTCACCTATACTTTACCTGCGTAGCCTAAAAAGGATTACTTACTGTATTTTTAATGGGCTTGCAGTTGTGCCAAGTCTCAGCACATGTCAGTTGTAGCAGTTTCCACCTGTGGTGCTGTGTTTATGTTCTGATTTGGATTTGGAACATTTCAGATTTTAGCTGTCTGGGTGAGGAACACTCAACTTGTGCCAGAAAGAACATGAGTGGGAAGGGTTTTTGTGTGGAAATGTAATTACTGTAAGATTGCTTGAGCTAGATAAAGATAAATTTAGAATACAAGTTAGGGTTGCAGACATGTATTCTAAGTATTTCCACTTAAAGGCAATGCATAGTTTGTCTTAAGTGTTTAGATACAGGAGACAAACTTTCTCTACTGGCAAATCTGAGCTGAAGGCATTAGCCACCATACTCTACAGAGAGGGAGAGCTTCTTTGGGTGACAATCTTGCCTTGCTGGAGCCATGTAGGATTATCATTCTTCCATTGTTCTGGCAACTGGGAAGTGTCCTTAGTTTAGAGAGAGACAGCACTGAGAGGAGAGAGTTGGCTGGCTTTTCATAATGAATGACCTTTCTCTAGTGTCAATTTTTCAGTCCCATTCATCTGTAAAGGTGTATGGGCAGATGCCTCTACAGCCTGTCCCTGCTAATGACACAGAAATCAGAAATCGAAACCTTCAGGGATTGAGGGTGCGAAGTAGTATTTGCCACTTTCACTGTCGGAAAAAACCAGATCCTGCGGTGACAACTGTTACTCTCATTTGACTGATTGGGACCCTTACGAGCTATTTCTTTTTGATTTCTTTCACTGTTACCCAGTTGATTAATTGCGCTTTGCCTTTTGTTTTAACAGAGCGTCTATATTTGTTCACCAAGACTGTGTTAGAATTGGAAGCTTGAAATTAATGTTATACATCTCATTCCTTGTGACTAGGCTGACCCCGGGCCCTCATGATGACAGAGCCCGCCTGGTGCTGATCAGTGGCTGCCATGTGTCCCCAAACTTGATTTCTTAAGAAATACTATTCTTGGGGGCTGGGGGTTTAGCTCAGCGGCATAAGCACCTGCCTTAAAGCAGGCAGTCATGAGTTCAATCCCTGGTACTGATAAAAAGGAGAAAGACAAAAAAAAAAAAAGAAATACTGTTCTTAGCTAAGTGCAGTGGTGCTTACGTATTATTCCAGCACTCTGGGAGCTGAGGCAGGAGGACCCCAAGTTGGAGCCCAACTTGGGCAACTTAGCAATTTAGGGAGACTCGGTCTCATAAAGGGCTGAGGATGTAGGTCATTGGGAGGGTCTTGGGTTTAATCCTTCATATGACAAAGGAAAAAAAATAGTTCTGGTGATATTTGTAGAGTTTCAAACTTGATGATTTAACATTCACTTTGGTAATAGAATTAGGTGAGAACAGAAAGTTTACCTACCAAATTTGATCTTCATCATTAACCACAGCTTCGTTATGTATAATCATAGGCTTATTCTGTTGCTGATTCGCTTATCCAGGTTACTATTTAAACTGATAAGCATCCAGAATTTTTAAGTGACAGTAGCACATAAAGACAGCAAGCCACTTTTGTCCTTGTGTCACGCCAACTGCCCTTTTAGGTATTCGGTGTGGGTTAGGGAAAATACAAAACGTAAAGTGGTGAGTGAGCAGAAATGCAAGTTTGTATGAATGAAAATTCTTAATTTTTTGTAACAAGTGGATCTGCCAACATGTGGACTGCATCATTTTTATTTTACATTTGTCTCTTGGGTGAGGGAGTGAAAGAAGTAAGAAAGTGAGACGTGCCATTCAGCTTTTCTGTTAAAATCGAGGTCTTTCCCCCAGATTTGGACCTGTGTGGGTTCTGAGGAGGGTGTGTGGGTTTCTCCCACCTGTGTGGTTCTGAGAGGTGGGCGGGGAAGTCTGTAAGAAACCTCGATCTCGTTTCATCTTCTTCTGTAAACCACGTCCTCCTGCCTCTTCCTCTGCTTCCTAGGTGAACGGAGGCATTGAGAACACGTTGGAGAAGGAGGTGGTGCAGTACGACTACTACTCTTCTTATTTTGATATATTCGTAAGTATTTTAAATTTCACATCTTACTGCAGATGTGAGAAAACTGAAACCAAATGGCAAAGTGCCTCTAAAAGGACTCAAATTCAGTACCAGCCTATTGCCTTTAATACTCACCTTCTTCTTTTTTCTCCGATTTGTCTTGTTCAGGCAGGACTGTGTAATGTTGCCAAGGAAGGGAAAGGTGTCCAGGGCATAAGGGCAGAGCTGTCCCCACAGGGTGTGTGTGTGTGTGTGTGTGTGTGTGTGTGTGTACTGTATTCTCACGACTGAAGTAGAACACACTGATATGTCATAGTCACAGAAAGAGAAGAGTCACCTGTATTTACGATTTTGTGAGAAACTGCTGTTCCTTTATGGTGTTCTGCTTGTCATCATGTGAAACCCAGGTTGGGTGGCTTTAGTTAGGATCTGGGCCAGGATCCCCCCACCCGCACTCCATGCTGGTCTAGGCATCAGTGCCCGTCAGAGTCTGTGTCCACTCAAATCAGAGTGCTGAAGATGGTCTGCCAAGTTCAGAAAGCTGAGTCACTTGTATTTTGTGTGATTTAAATAACTCGTCTTTGTTTTCTTATTGCTTCCCTCAGCTCTTGGCAGTTTTCCGGTTTAAAGTGTTGATCCTCGCATATGCTGTGTGCAGACTGCGCCACTGGTGGGCAATCGCGGTGAGTGGGGATGTGTGTGGTCTCGGCAGGGCTGGTGGCCAGGCTGCTCGGCCCGGCCGGGGACCCCTTTGTCCCTCACTTGAGGCCTGGCATCCAGCTTCTTTTCAGTGTGAACCACTGCCTGGCTTGATCTCCAGGATGCTGAGCCACCGGAGGAATCGAGAGACCCTGTGGAGGTCACAGCGAAGCAGCCACCCAGCCTCCACCTCCTTCACGGACAAGAGCTGAGAACCATAGCTCTGTCACAAGACATGTCCTGCAGTTCCTTGTCAGTTTGATACTGTGTAGTGACTTTTTCATGAGTTAGTCTGCATTACTTTGATAATCTGTGCCTCTGTCGTGATCTCAGGGGAACACTCCTGTCCCCCCTTTAACTGTAGCCTTCCAGCTCCTTGAGGGCAGCAGTATTTTCACTCATCTCTTCTTGCATGCAGCACAGAACCTGGGCACATTGCATTCATCCTTATTAAATAATAAGAAATTGAAAGACTTAGAACAAGTCTTACATGAATTATTTGGGCTCTTTTAATGCCCTCATTATAGCAGATGCAGGGCAGGAGGGGGAACATGGAGCTCCTGAGCACTGAGACCCTCTGGGATGTGGACTGCACTACCCTCTGATGACCACGTCCTCCAGGGCGCATCCACCTGGGCTGTGTCTTCTAAGTGTCCCCAGCTTACCCTAGAGGCTGATGCCTGTGCGAATCTGGAAGCTGGCATTCTGGGGGCTTGGCTGACAGTCAGGGCTGACTTGACTCTCTTTCTTGAGTCCTCTTCTGCCAACGTTACAGGAATTGCAGAGATCACATCCTCCTAGTTTTCTACAGTAGTCTAAATTTTGGACTTTCCATTCCAGTGTCCATGGTGCACACTGGTGTCTGTCAGGTCTTGTTTCAGTGTTTGTTTTAGCAGAGAGGTTACACGGAAGCTTTCAATGAGAGTTACAATAAAATACCTTCAGTGTCTACCTCCAAATTCCTGAAGGATATATCTGATACAGCAAATCCATTTGTACGATTGTTGTGTCTTGTAAAGCCACTTGCAAGAGAGAGTCTCGGAAGAAATCACCTGGTACCTGAGAGCACTTAGTGTGTACCTGGAAAGCGAATTAGTGCCAGGGTGTGAAAGACTTCCTGTCCCCACAGATGTAAATTTAAGATATTCCAAATATATCAAAATTAGGAAAATAGTGGTTGGCCTGGTGTGTGTGTGTGTGTGTGTGTGTGTGTGTGTGTGTGTGTGTGTCTACCTGTGTCTCCTTCATACTTTCACACTCTGCTCTCCACTCTTGTGAGTCATGGTTTCAGTTGGCGTTTACTTTGCTCAGGTTTCACCAACCTAAAATTCCAGTGGAGGAGGGAGAGATGGGGCCTGAGGCCTGTAGGATTCTCTTTGGGCTTTCTAACCCCCCAGGCAGAGCCCTCCCTGTCTTCTGTGGACCCTTCCTCTGTGTGCTTGTGTTCTCTTAGCATCCTCTACCTTGTGATTCATCAAGTGTGGGTTCTAACACATGAGCCTCCAAAGTGCAGTGAAGAAATATCACAGACATCCGCTCGGAGCCAGGGACAGAGAGACAGGACAGTGGGGAGAAACCAGGCTGGGCACAGTGCTCGGGACATCATCCACTCTGGCTCCCTCGGGTCCCCCGGGTGCAGGAGGGCTCTTCACAGTGGGAAACATCTAATTTGAGCGGAAGTACATTGTGTGTCTTGCAGTTGACGACAGCAGTGACCAGTGCCTTTCTACTAGCGAAAGTGATCCTCTCAAAGGTAGGACGCCCTTCCCTGCACTGTCACCGGGCAGTGAAGACGCCTCAGTTTCCAGTGTGAACTGTTAGTGACTACCTTCCCACTCTGTCACGTCTGTCTTCCAGCTTTTCTCGCAAGGGGCGTTTGGCTACGTGCTGCCCATCATTTCATTCATCCTTGCCTGGATTGAAACATGGTTCCTAGATTTCAAAGTGTTACCTCAAGAAGCAGAAGAGGAAAACAGTTAAGTTTCCGGGACTGGCTAGTGTCAAGTGGGGGGAGGGGGGGATCGATCAGCTGGAAGTGAGCCAACCACAGGTGGGCAGAGTGAGGCGCTCACAGAGACAGAGTGAGAGGAGGGCTGAGAGGGCAAGAGGATGAGAGCATGGTGGCAGGAAGCAGCTTCTCCTCCTGCTGGCAGAAGTCTGGAAGCTGCTCGTGAAACAGCAGAAAACTCCCCTCAGATATGAGTAGTAATCATGCTGTTTATCTGCACAGGACACTAAGCTTTCAGTGCGTTTCACAACAGACAAAATGCAACCTGTTTTCACTCAGACAAAGTTGCAGGTTTAAATGCTAGGCAGTGGTTTTGCAGAGCATCATAACTGCTCACAGCATGGAGCAGGTGCTTAGAATGAGCTATAACTAAACAGTTACCTGCTTAGAGATGGACAGGATTGACAGAGTTGGAGTTCAAAGGAGAAAGACCCCAGGAAGAGCGGTGCTCTGCCTTCTCGTCCTCTGCTGTCCTCTTCTGGGTGGTAGAGTGACAGCTGAACCAAGTTCTACCAAGGCTGCCATCAGCTGCTCTCTTGGCTTGCAGTATACTAGGATACAAACCGGAAAGCCAATGGTGGGTCGAGCTGCATGGTTAATTCCTGGGCTGGGCATCTTCTGCACATAGTGCCTTAGTAGATGCCACAGGCTCAGCCCCTTTCCCTCAGAGGTGAGTGACCGTAGCTCAACTCAGATGCCCGGGCAGCGCTTGGGAGTGCCACTGGTACCATTTCCCGTTGCCTGGCTCGTATTTCCTCGCCTCATAGGACAAAATCTTGTATCTTGTGAAAGGTTAAGCATATATATAGCCTCAGAAAAAAATGAAACCAAAAGTTTCTTTGCATATAGTTTTATTTTGAAAAAATTTCTCTTACCAAATTGAAATCTATTTGATATAGAAATCTAATAGAAAAAAAAGCAGAATTCAAGAGTAGATCTTAAAAATCTATTATCAGTCCTATAAGCTTCTACTATTTTGTGCCCTCTTTTCATTTATGAAAACATAATTTGGAAAAGACATGGGTAAAGATAATGAAAGATTTTTTATTACACATGATCAGCAAGCTGAACTTTATTCCTACCATATTAACTGTTAGTGTAAGATTTGAATGATTATTTGACTAAACAAAACTCACAGTGGTTAACAGCAGGACACAGTTCATGAAAGTCTCAAAAACAGCACTGACTCTCATCAGTAGCTGATGGACTGACCTGTCCTCTGCTCTCTGGCCTGGGCTTTCTTACATTATAGTTTAGCTTGACTCAGCTTTTGGCCACGAACTCAAGTGTTAATGGCCTTGCTCATAAGGGCTGAGAGTTCTGGGACTTCACTCTTTTTTGGCTTTTTAATACTCTTTTTTTAAAAAAAATATATAAATATTTCATTATCACCTACTTTGTTTTTATGTATTTGTAAGGACCATCTGGGTATTCCATGACGTTTCTCTATCCAAAATAGCAGACTGGTCAATATTTATATGAACCAGAAATAGTTCTTTGTTTCACCTTTGGTTTTGAGGTTAATATCCATAGGAGGAGAGGAATTCCAAGGGAATGATACTGTAAAACACTGAGTTTAAGAATCCTAGCAATAACGTGTAGCAATTTTTAAATTACTAAGTTACTGTCATCGATTATTAATGGAACCTTTTGTTTTTTTGGTTGAAAGATATTCCGTCTACGTTTTTCCTAAGAATTTCTTTAAGCTAATAATAATACCATTTTGTAATGCTTAAACTTACTGAGAAGGTAGCAGGAGCCGAGCCACCTACAGAATTAGCATTTCTTCTCTTTCAGGACTCCTTATTGTTCAGGATGCATCGGAGAGGGCCGCCCTCATTCCTGCGGGTCTTTCAGATGGTCAGTTTTATTCCCCTCCTGAATCTGAAGCAGGTAAACATTGTGATTATCATTTGCGATTTTGTTCATTGTTTAAAACCTCTATATTTTTTCTTTCTCTCTCTCCTCACTGTGTATTTCAATACACTTAGCAACCATGTCATGTACTGAGTTATAAAGGTACAAAGGGGGTGATCAAAACGTATCACTGTTAAATCCTTAAGTTACAATTTATTAAAGTAAAAGACACATTGCCATTAGTTCCCCCCAAAATGTTTCCCTTAACTTGCAACGCATTTATCACCCCTGTCATTCTTACCCTTTCTGAGGCGGTTCTGGAAGTCCTCTTTCATGAGTGTCTTTAGTGTCTTTACAGGTGTGATCAAAATAAAGGCAAACAAATGTTGCTACCGGGTCCCACTGAGTGTGAAGTCAGGCTCAAAAAAACATTGCAGTGTGCCCTTACAAACGTTATTGTGAGATTCGCAGCGTGGACATGAGAGGCAGAGGGAGTGGGAGCAGTCACCCAGCATCGCACACACAGCCAGTGGCGGAGCTCAGGCTGGAGCCTCGGCTCCAGTGCAAGAGCCCCACTCGCAACTGCTGGGTTCTCACAGTCTGTGTCAGTATTTACAAAAATGCAGAATTGTTCATGTCCTTTCCCTGCCCAAAAACCTCTGGTGGCTTAAAGGACTCGGAAATAGACAGACCCTTAGCCTGGCGGAATGTGCCTCTGTGACCTCTCTTGCTCAGTTGCCCACCTCCCTGTGGCTACCCTCTTGTGTTTTGTTACTAGTTGTTAAAAGTGCCATGCTCCAAAACCTTTAGCTGACTTGCATTTGGTTGTTCGTATTCTGAATATCATGTCTTCAGTCCCGTGTTCCAAAGGCTTCTCTACACCTTGCCTGCTCACGCATCCCTCTTGGCTGTCTTGGTTAGGCTGTTCTTGTGAAGTCTTTGGTGTGGGAGAGGGCCAAGCTGCACTGTCCTGAGAGACAGAGCTCTTTACATCAATTTTCCCCTCACTTTTACGCCAGTCCTATTCACTGAGATATGCAGAGCTGGCTGTACTGAAACAGATGTTCCCTTAGTTGGCTAAAAGAATGTGCTTGAGTCTGCTTGAGAAGCCAGCCTGTCTCATTGCAGCATGAGGATGAGGACCCCCCCCCCCCATGACCGGTGTTGAACAAGGAGCCTGTGAGATTCCTGGGCTAAGACATGAGAGCATTTCAGCTGAGGCTATGGGACACAGAAAGATTTATACCTTACTGGCAGTAAAGGTGATGTAGTCTTGCATACATTAAGGTATCCATTGTATTGCTGATTCCAGAGCCTCCATGCCTGGTACACAATTGTGCTGTTTCTCCTTACAGACAGTGCATGGAGTTTCTCTTCCCTTGCACTCTGCTGTGACCCCCCCAAATCTCCCTGACTGAAACCCATAAAAGCCATGAGATTTTTAACTTGTAGCCTTTTGTTCCATAAATAAAATTGGTTATCCCAGAGCTCCTCAGCTGCATATCTTCCTCTCTTTATTTTATTTTGCATCCTTGTGCTGTATTACCAGGTGTGTTAGGCTGATATAGGATGTGTTAGGCTGAGACCCTCTACAGGGCATATTGGTCCTTGGGGACCTCTTCCATGATGCTGGCATCCTGGGCCGCCTGCACTGCCTTCAGCAGTCACCTGGTTCATTTCGACCTGTGGGATGTCACCTTGGGTTAGAGACTGCCACACTGTATTGCAATGATTAGACCTAGTGAGTATTTTAAACACACATTATCATAAAGCAGAGTCCACACAGAAAAGGCCCATGAATGGTGGACAGCACAACACTGAAAATCAGTTTGTTAGGGGAGCTTGAAGAAGCTTCTAAAGTCTTGGACACTAGTGTGAGACCTAAAATATAAAACTGCCGGCCACGTGGGGCACAAGAGTGGATTAGGAGCAGGTCTGTTCCTCAGACGGCAGAAATTAGGTGATGTACTAAACTTTTTGCTAACTGTTACTTCATTCAGATGTCATCACACTCGTTCTTTCCAGAGATGAAAGTTCATAACGTAGTTCATACTGTCTGCCTTTTTCTAAGGCTAACCCTATTTTGTACCTGTTTTATTTTCTGTGACTCCTACAGTTGCTCAGTGCTCCTCACTATCCTTAATGAGAAGCTCAGGTCAGCAGGCTGAGGATAAGGTGTGGGATCCTCCCAAAGCTGTGCTCCCCCATCCAGCCTCCTTCCTGATCCCTTGGCTTCTGTCGGTGACATTGGACACCACCTAGTGGTCGTCCGGGGCATTACCGTCTCATTTGGTTGTGAGCTAAACAGAGCAAGACAGTTTGCTGGTGTCCACTGGGTGGCTGCTTTGTCTAAGACAAATGCAGATTAGTAGTGGTGGGCAGTGCTGGGTGCACAGAGGGCTGCTCTGCTCTGCTGTGTTTGCATATCTGAATGTTCACTTTAAAAGAATTAAACATTGAAAATTCTAGCTGGACTCACGTGTCTAGACCAGCGCACGCTCCTGTGGAGCTTACACTTCTCCTTATGCCAACACTAAATAAATGTCTGTCCTTGGAGCTGGAGTAGTGAGGGGCTGTTGGTCTGATCCCGCCCTGGCTGACCATGTGGACATGAGGACATCTGCCACGCCTGACCGCCTGTCTCTGCTCGTTTCCCAGCTCCACATACAGTGGATTTGAAACTTTACAGGGTTAGATGAAAAGAGAAAGAATGGCTAAAATAAAATGCTAAGTGAAAGTTCTGGCATTTTCCCGTCCGTGTTTCCTCTGAGAAGTTGGGAGTGAGCACTTATCAGCAGATGGGCAGAGTGTATGGTGAGGGCTGTGAACGTGTTTGATTGCAGGCTGCTTGTGGACCTGCTGGTGCCCTGGAAAGCTGCGCATGAAGTGGGCACCAGGAGGCAGCACGGTCCTTCAGGTGGCTGGAGTGAGGCTGGTGCGTGTGGTGAGAGAGCTGAAGGGAACCCAGTGTGGACGGAGGACAGGACTGTTCCTCACCTCCCACCTCAGGAGCCACTGGCTGAGGCTGAGGGAGAGCTGGAGTGTGTAATGCCGTCTGCTCCGAGCAAGTCTGGGTAAGGCATTAGTGTTCCAGGCCAGTGCCCCTCAGAGGAGCCGCACCTGCTGGTCTTCCTGTGCCCAGTGTAGTATGTTTGTCACTCACAGGTTTATTGCTGGAACCCTTGTTTGCAGAGATGATAAATTATGTGATCAATCTTTGAAAACTGAATAGATTTTAAACACAGGTTTTTTTCCACCTTTTGTTTAAAATTTTGAGAATTAGTTGATTACCAGATTTAGTCAACAATAAATATTTTTAAAATAATTCCAATTAGTCTGTTTTCTCTCTTTCTAAATTTAGATTTTCTGGACACTTTGTATTTTTTGTATTCAGCTTCTTTTGCTTAAAGTTTGATGTGTAGCATGTATTATTAGTATGTTCTTTTTTCTTTTTGGGTACTTTTTCCATCATATGGACATACAACATTGGTTATTTACCAGCTTTTGGACATTTGAGTTATTTGTAGCTTTGGATTATTATGAATAAACTAGCGTGTGAGCATTGCTCTGTATTTGTGTAGATATGTATTTTTATTTTTCCTGAGTTAACTTCTAAGAGCAGGTTTAGTGTATCACATGTTAAGTTTCTCTTAAACTTTAAAAAATAAAATTGCTAAGCTGTCCTTCGAAAAATAACCAGACTGGTATATTTCCTCCCTGCAGTGTGAATAGGTTTCAGTTTCTTCACGGCCTCATCAATGCTTGCCATTGTCTTTTTGATTGCAGCTTCTCTAACAGGGCATCTCACTGTGTTTTAGCTTGACAGTAGGCCTCTTTCCCCACATTCCTCTTTTATGTTATTCATAAATCTTTGCAGAGCAGTTAGAAGATACTCTTCATCTTGTTGTTTGTCTGGCATTCTTACTGAGTTGTGTGAATTCTGTGTGCACTTCACACATCTTCACCAGAAACGTGATTTGCAGATGTTTACCGCAGCCTAGTTTTTTGCATTCCTTTATATGGTCTTTTGAAACAGAGGTTTTAGGTGTTGCTTCAGTCTAGTCTATAAATTTTTCCTTTTATAGATGGTATACAAGGTCGTATCTAAACTGTATCATTACAGTTTTCTCCTGTGGTTTTATCTACACGGTTTTACAGTTTTTCCTGTTTGAATTAAGTTCATGCTGTACATCAAATTAATTTTTTTGTGCCAGCAAGATAGGAACTAACTTCATTCTCCAGCTGTTGGATTCTTGGTTGTCTCAGCGGCTGTTGACAGGCAGTGCCTTCCTACTGACCCAGCCTGGCATGTCCGTCAAAACTCAATTGGCATAAATGGTCCTCTTTTAAATTTTGTTATTTTCTTGATTTCTTGTAGATTGAACTTTCCTGACTGTACTTTTTACAAGTAGATTGTTTTTACATAGTTGATCTGAAGTCTCTTTTCTGATACAATTGTCAAAAGACATTATTTTTCCTGTGAATGTTGCTTTCATGATAGTTCATCCATTCTGATACAGTATAGTTTCATTTTCATGAATTCCTTGGTTTTCAGCAGCTTGGTGGTATACTTGTAGGTCCTTCTATACATATAATTTAATTTAATTTCTTGTTCTCTTAACATGAATTGTAGAGATTACTATGTCTCCAATACGGATGTGTTGGTCTGCTTGGGTTGACCTGCACGCAGCTGTCGATGAGTTCTGTTCACGTCACCATCAGTGTTTTCCCACTCTGGGTGTCAAGGTTGCATTGTTTCTCTCAGTCTGTCTGCAGGTATGCAGGCTCCTCGGCCTCTTTAGTGTTGTCTTGACTCTTTCTTGCAAATACTTTAGTATACTCACGCTTTTTCACCCCATAATTTCTTTTCTAAAATTTTAGTCTGTTGTAGTAATTTTTTCCTTGTTTTGAATCTCTATGTTTGTATTTCTTTGTAGCCTATCTTCCTTTAGTTTTTTAAGGTGATTCTCTGTGGTTTTTGGAATATAATAGCTGTTCCGATGTTTTTCCCTGGAAAATACAGTACTTGAAGGCACTTGGAGATGCTTTGATTTTTTTTTTTTTAACACTTACTATGATCACAGTTTTCTAATTCCATGTCTTTGATTTTCTGTTAAACAGCATTTTGTTGAAAAGTGTATTATAGCAACTCTAGTTTCTGATATTTTCTTAAGAGGTTGCTTTTGGTTTAAGAAATTGTCCATGAAATTATATTCTCCAACTAATAGGCTACTTCTTTCTTCTCGTCATTTGTTATGTTTTAATCTTTTTTAAGTCTTGCTTTTCTTTTTAAGACAAGTTTCTCAGGAGTCCATTGTGCTGCAGAGTGCAGTGGTAGCCTAGGCCTGAACAGAGGCCATACTCAAACCCTGGGGTTAAGATTTCTGTCTTCTGCCAGAAAGACACGTACCTGAGCTGGGTGACACATTTCAGGATTAGATTAACCTCTAGTCTTTTGCAGCTTCTACTTTCGGCTGCAGTCTTTCATATGATTTCTGCATCTGTGTGCAGCTCAGGATTGTAGACTGGCTGGAGCTCTCCTGGGTCTCTCCCTCCATGCATAGGAGAATGGCTCCAGCCAGGCCTTTGCTTGCTGCAGCCATGAATGCCTTAGGCCAGCAGGGCAGCCATCCAAGAGTGTGGCTCCAGTGTCAAACACAGGGAGCTTCCTTCACCTCATACCTTTGCTCTGGGAGCTGGGTGGCGGGTGGTGGGTGGTGGGAAGGGAAGAGCAGCAGCCGTATTGTTTCCTAAATTTTGCAGTTTTGTCAAGCTTAAATATGTCCCCAGTTATTGTATGCAATGGGTCATTCCAAAGAATTGAAATGCTTAGTTTTGTCCACTCTGCCAACTTGTACAGATGCTTCTCATGGAGAACTTACATTGACTACCTTGCTAGACTACAGGTAGCAGTCCTTTAAAAATAAATAGACAATATATGTAATTATCTTTTAATTCAAGACATAGCTTTATTTAGCATTCCCAGGTGATCAATCGCAAGACATACCTCTATTGTGTTTTCACACTTTTGGCCCCTTGGGTCTTAAGTGAGCCTAAAAAAGGAAGGATTGGCATGATCATCTTCCTTGCACCCTTTCAAATACTGTAAACAGCTAAACCACCCTGCATTTCCCTTGTTTGGGTGCAGTTCAGTGGCTAGAAAACAGAGCAGTCAGCCATTCTACCTATCTATTTCTTTTACCTAGTTTCACCTCACAGTTTCTCATTTATGAGGTTAATATGGGAGGCCCTGTCTTAAGCTCTTCCCAGTGTCTCTGCTGTCCACAGCTGCTCTCACCTCTAACCAGGTGGACGTTCTCAGCAGCGTCAGGCAGGTGGAAGCAGTGGCAGAGGCTGGATGCGGTTCAGGCACGAGCTGATTCCGTCCTCACTCCTCCTCCTCCTCTTGTGGCCTTTGCTGCCTTGGGAAATCATGTGTGCTTTATACAAAGGTGAAAGGAGCAAAGTTGAAAACTCACTGGTGCTTCAAAGTATTCATCAATATTGGCCTTCACAATTTAACTTGGTTCCTTCTAATGTGTGCAGTTTGATGTCTCTTTGTCTTTACTGTCTTTGTTACTTATAGCCTGCTTTTAAAACTGGAATTTAAAAATTACTACGTCACTGTAGGTTTATTGTGGGTATTTTGTATCATCCACAAAAATACATTAAAGTGATGTGACTTTATACTTTTTCTGTTGTACATATGTTTGCTTTCCTTATGTCATGCAGAGATTTATTTGTTTATTTTGTATGTGCTTTGCTTTAGTGCAGATGCATTTTCCTTATTGTTGTATACCACATGTGGCCATAATTTTACAGGAATGTAAGGTATTTCATGGAAGTGTACCTTATTTTGCCTTTCTTACATTCCGAGGCACTCACATGAATTTTGTTTTCTAATTGTTATGGAGGGAAGTATGCATGAGAAATGAGAAGTAGTATTTCCTCAGGACGGGTTGTAAGGGAAGAATTCCAGAGCGGGATGATTCTGGGGTGACTGGAGAGTAAGGGTGATGCACAGCCGGTGAGACCTGACGGAGAATGGCTGATAGGCCGTCACTGCCACAGCCAGAGGCTGAGCGTCTGGTCCCGCCTTCCCTTTTAGGAGCGCTCACTGCTCTCAGTGCAGTGATTAAATCCATTGTACCACAGCTCATCATTTGGACTTAGAAATAATACAAACTCAGCAAAGAGGCAGAGGAAGAAAAAGAAATAATCCACATTAAATGAGTATTTTCAGTAATATGTAAGTGAAACCCATTTTACCAAGTTAGTGCAAGTGATATGTTAAAAATTTTCCTCCTGTGGAACATAAGTAACATATTGAGTCCAGTTTAACTTAAATCTGTTGAAGGTTAAGGAGACATGCTTCCTTTTACAATTACACATGCATATTATAATGCAGTGACCGTGATGGAATGAGACCCTTATTTGACTTTTTCTTCCCACCACACAGGATCTGACGAACAAGCTGAGGAAAAACAGGATAGTGAGAAAGCACTTTTAGAACTCTGACTTCTGCTTTGTAAAAGTAAGTGAAAATGAAACCGTCAACCATGTAGATAGAGAAGGAGCGCTTCTGCTGAGCGGATTGACAGTAAACTTTAAAGCATGAGTGTTAGGACATAGCCAAATGTGTTGTGATGACAAATTCAGTAGTCACATTTTATTAGTGTCAAGTTTCTTACAATTTTTTTCTTCAGAGAAATAGCATCAGTAGCGTTTGAGAAATACCTCAGAGTGACACATCTCCAGAGAATAAGGAAGAATGCATTTGGTTAACTTAGAATGCGTGTGGCCAGACACTTGTTCAGTGCTGATGTGAGGACAGCAGTCCTGTGAGCTGTGGGGACTGCGTTAACTCCATGTCCCATGCAGCCAGGCGAGAAGGCCTAAGTGTCACAGGTTTGCATGGGGAGTCAGACTCAGCTCCACCCAGGGTGGCCCCAGGGCCACGGCAGGCCTTCCCGGGAGCTGCTGGTCAGTGTGGAGCCGCTGAGCTGTCCATCCGAAGGCTAAGGTAGACTGGTGTTAAATCAGGCAAACCAACAGAGAAAGTCTTGGCAGTCTCACAGCTACTAAGAAGATAAGCGCCTCATGGACAGCAACTGCTCAGTTATTTCACCACAAACTGAAAAGCTAGTGGGTGCAATTTGAGTCTTGGGTAAACTGGGACAGTGGTCACCTGGGCGGCGGGATAGCCAGGGCCATGGCTGATGAGTGCTATGTCCAAGTTGGTGATGCCAGCGTGCCTCAGCCCTTTCTTTCTGCAGTAGCAGTGTAGACAGGGAGAAAAATGTGATACCTGGATAGGTGAATATTTTCTAAAATGCTTAAAAATGAAATCATGTGGCCGCACCAGTATCCTTTGCATGTCTGCTGCATTACACATAAAAATGTAAGGCAGTGTGACTTTGTCTCTCAGCATTTTGTCTTCGCTCTTTTTCTAAGTAGGAAATGCCCTGACTGAAAGCCATCTGAGAGAAAAGATGGAGGTGGTCTCCTGGAGAGTGGAAGTGGTGACTTTGTGGAACAGCTAATAAAGGATTGGTTACGGTGATACCTCATGGACATTGTCCCCTGTGAACACCACTCAGTCGCTTGCCTGTCTTAATGTTCCTCCGTCCTGTGAGACTGAGTCACACTTGTTAAGGAATAATTGAAGGAAAGTCTTGTGCTGTATCAGAATCAAAAGACTTCGTAATATATTGAAATAACACTTTTGTAGTCAGTGAAATAGCTTTGTATTTCATTTCACAGAATGGAATTTTTTGGTTTCATGTCTCAGATTTCTTTTGTATTTCTTTTTTAACACCCTACATTTCCCTTGTATTTTTTAACTCATGCACATGTGCTCTTTGTACAATTTAAAAAAAATAAAAACCAACATGTCAAAATGACTGGCTCCGTTTTTCTTTGTTGATGTTTGGTGTTTGGTCTGCAGTGTTGGAATTACGGGGTGAACGAGGAGGGGTTAACATCTTCATACTTTTGTATTTGTGTTGTGAAATCTCTTTCTTTGAGATAGGGTTCTAAAATATTCTGTATGCTCTTACTTGGGACCCACTAAAGGACTATGAGACCATTGCTGTCTATTCTGTATCCTGTTTAGCCAGTTTGAATTAAAAGAAATTGAATAATACCAAGAGGTATTCGTTCCTAAATGAATATTCACCTTACTGCTCTCACAGGAGCAGTAAATCTATTAGTTTTCCATCTCCAGTCATTATGTTATTCAGTAAAACTCACTTCAGTTCATCTTGGAGCTGCCAGGGTGGGCGGGACCTGAGCATTTGTACAGATCACGTCCCCAGCTGTGCGTGTGCCAGTGTGGCCAGACCGCATCACCAGGGCCAGGGAGACCGTGGAGGCTGGGATCTGAGGAGGAAAACCTTCTTAGGATGCACAAATGAGGAGACTCCAGGGACTGGATTGGGGTTGAAGCCTGAGGGCCTTGGTGACTTCAGCTCAGAGACAGTTTCCTGCCTCAGGAGTGGTGTAGCTAAACACCGAGCAAATGGATGAGACCTAAGCTTGAAGTCAGGGCATCAGTTTTAACTGCTGCAGGGTTCTCCCCACACATGGTAGGTTGAAGCACTGGGATGTGGCCCATTGTCCTCTTAGAAAGAAGCCAGGACTGACTTAGAAGCTGGCTATCTGAGCACATACAGAAGAGAAAGAAGTGTATGATTGGAATGTGCCTTGAAGTCAGACTGTGAATACCTAAAGCAGTTATCTCTGTGCCTCCCCGTTCACCAGACGATGTGAGCCCAGTGTGCTGTTCTCTAGTCTGCTCCCAAGTGTGGGCAGCATGCATGAGAGGCAGTAGCTTTTTATGCTTACGTTGTTGAACAAGCCTCATCTAACCCGTCATGCATTCACCTGCTGCTACTGTCCTCTCTTAAAAGTTCCTCAAGTTGCCTTAAATCATTTTATGTCTATGGAGAAACTCCAGGCTATTCAGTATGTGGCTTGCAATTACACGTTAGAACTCAAGGCCTTTGTATATCTCTGGGCTTCTGGAGCACATCACCATTGGTCACCTTTATGCCCACCTATCCTAATGGACACGAGTCATGTGCCACTCTGCCTATATTGAGAAAGTGAAAGCAAAAGGAACCAACATCTGTAAATCTAATACCTTGGACAGACATAGATGCTGGAGGAATGTTCTGGATAATCGTGGGCTGCAGAGCTCTCCTTCCTCCAGCACAGAGCCGGAATAGTGACAGAAGGAGCAGTGTCTACACAGTCCTGGCCACCAGGTTCCCAACTCCCGCAGCAGCTGATGCATTTCCTGTGTCCCATGCAGGACGCCCATCCACCCACAGTGTAATGAGAAAGGCTGATAGTAGTCGCACATGTGTGATTGCATTCATTAGCTGTGTATGACCTTTTGAAAGCGAGCCAGGTTGGCTGTGGTTTAACTGCTCTCAGTTTCCCTTCTAACACCTTCAGCCCTCATTGCACTGCCCCCACCAGTAGGGGCCGGTTTGCCTTTGAGCCTCTTCCAAGAATCAACCGCATTTGACAGAGCACGGAAACAGAACAACCCTGAGAAAGCGAAGCCCCACCAGCGCTGCTCCCCGGCCTCTGCCACTGTGTCCCTATCTTGCCAGGCCCTTGCTCTGTGCTGCTGAATTGCAGGGCAGCTCCTGTGGAAGGTAAAACAAGGTGCTGAGGTCTGAACCCCCAGGGGACCCTGCCTGGGACCTGGCCTGTGATATCAGCCGCACAAAGCTCTGGGTAACGTGACCATTTCCTGTCTGGTGCCGTGTTTTGCAGTGCAGAAATAGCGCACTCTGCGCAGAACCAAGGAACAGATCTCAGTTGCATTCGATGTCTGTTCAGTGTGGCTTTTTGTTTCTAAGTGAAAATTTCTGCTTGTTTTCTAACAAAACTCGTTTCACAGAAACAAAGCAATGTTAAGGAAATCATTTCTATTTTAAATAAGTTACTAATTGTAATATATACAATCTTTTCACTTTATAAAGATTCATTGAGGAGACAAACACTTCAAATTTTCTTTACCCATGTACAGTACATTGAATATTTTGTTGCATATCTTAATCACAGATGCAGAAACAGGTAGAAAACGTCACACTTGTATTATTACTTATTTAGGCAAAATAAATGAAATGAATGCTGCAAAGATAAATAGATCAATATATTGCACTTCACTCATAATAAGCAAATTAAAATAACACTGAGGGGCTGTTTTCACCTGTCACATCAGCATAATCCTGAGGTATGGCAGTCATTCTTGGGTGGTACAAGCACAAAATAGGACTGCTGCTGGGGGACAATTTGGCATCCCCATCCACATGACCAATACCGTGTGCAAAATTATATGCAATTTTTTCTATATATAGTGGTAAGGTAGCAATAAGGATTTATGACAAGGAACTGATGAAATGCCATATTTTTTGTTCAGCGTAAAACTTCATGGGTGTTTAAATGTACTGCCATAAGAACTCTAGGATTTATGCAATGCAATGCAAAATAATGAGTAATATTACCTTTGTGCAAGAAAGTGAAATGATATAAACATGTATACTCATATTTGCAGAATTTTAAAGTTTTGATTTTTTTAACCATGTGGGTGTGTTATGTAACAATTTAAGTTCATGTTATATTTAAGCGCCATGTTCTAATTATTTTCCATTTTAAAAATTTTGTTTGAAGATACACACTGGTTTTTTTTTTATTTCACTCTTCTCTCCTTGAACATTTGGGTGAATCTGGGGCTGCTGTATGTGGTGCTACCATGAATGAATATCTTGGCATGTGCGTTTTAGAACATACACTCTTGTTTCCAGAGTGAGCCGATGGCTTAGACTCTCGAGAGACCTGTCCATGTGAAGTGTGGTGTCTCACATCCGGGCAGTGTATTCTGTCTGGTGGCTCCTGCTGACTCACCATCTGAGGCAGCTGTGCTGGAGGTTGGGATCTCTTTTCAATCCTAAGCTGGTTTGTGATAAGGTCCATGCCCCTGTGATGCTCTTGGCTCCCAGGAAGAGATTAGGAGCCAATGGTAGAATGCATTGAGCAGCAAGTCTTAAAGTTAGACCAACCTGGAATCACATGGTCTCTGGAATTTACCCCTTATTTAACATTGCCCATATTTAATACTGTGGCTCATTTGTATGTTATTGGTACTCTGTGTTTAATAGTAGGCATCATTAACACTGAAGTTTTTCTCTAACTGGGCCTCTGAGACCTAGTTATCTTAGCCAAATGAACAGAACTGTACTGTGCCATGTAGAACAAACTGATTTGTTGGATTGCTGAAGCTCACTGTGTGGTAGGTATTGGACACACAAAACAAAGCAAAGAAATAGCCTAACAGAATACGATTGGAAACTCTGCATTCTATTATATAAGCTTTCATGGTATTAAAAAGTTCAGTTTCTGGCCTTTTGGTCAAATTACATGATGCTCTGTAATATTTACAATGATGTGTTATTACTGAACTTCTAGTTGCCAGTTACTTAAGTAATTGACTGTAATGAGGAAAATCAATTATTACCAATATGGTTTGTTTAATAGACAAAAAGATTTAACAAATGAAGCCTGTAGGGGAAAGAATTGTGCGATAAAAAGAGTAAAGAGAATCTATAATGAAGTAATTTAGAGGAACTATTGCCTGGAAAATTTTTCTATTTCATTTTTTATTAATAGTTGAGAACATATGGAGTCTCCTTAATGAATCTTCTAGTTGAGGTGTAGGTGGACTCTAAGACCTTTGAGATGTGCGGATCTTCAAGTGGAATTGTGTGACTCTGCCTTGCTTTTCCATTGAACACTTGTGCCTTTAATCACCTGCTGTTTTTATTTTTTCCAAATATATTATGGACTGGAGTCACAGAGCTCCAGTGGAGAGTGGGAGGTCAGTGTGTAGAAGTCTTCCCAGTGGCAAATTAGCCTCCAACCCTGTGTTGTAAGAACCATGCTGGAGTTGAGAAGAAATACACAGTGCAGGAGGGCTTCCACTTTCTTTTACCAGCTCTGAGCCTAACAGGGAAGGATGTTTGTCTAGAAGAGTACTCTAGGATCAAACAGTGTTTAAGGCAAGAGCAGAGTTTCTGAAGCTGGGCTTCTTGGGTTCAAATCCCAGCAGTGTTGTTGAATAGCTTTGTAGCCATAAGGAAATACTTAGACCTCTCTGCCTCAGTTTCCCAGAACAATTCTATATATCTCATAGGATGCATGTGAGAATTACATGGGATAACACAGTGAAACCAGTAACCTGAAACAGAGTTCTACCCAGGTGATTTCTATTAATACTTAAGCAGGTGTCAACCACAGAATTTGTAATTTAGCATAGAAGTATGAAATTTTAATTTCTGTGCTTTGGTTTAAAGATTAATAAGCTTAGGCAATGAGGGAATAAACTATAGATTATGTATTTCAAAAACAGAAAGGATTGTCAGTGTTTTTAAACAGACAAATGGAGTATTTGAGGAGACAGGCATACACTGATTTAAACATTACCTGTTGTATGTATGTGTTATATTAGATATGATTGCAAGAATATATATAAATTTCATGTGTCAATTTAAAAAGGGAAGCACAAATGGTATAGTTAGAGTCCAACCAAGTACCAGGGCCCGGTTTGGCTATGAAATGTGACTCCTGGCCCCATGTCCTCTCCCCTCTCCAAGTGTCTTGCTTGCATAAGGCCATCATGTGGGGGAGAAGTCCTGGATTGGGAAGGATGCATAAGTTCTGCTTCAGAAATGCCCCTGATCCTAGCAGAATGTCCCACCAAACCACTGTCTACACCTCAGAACATCGTAAACTGTCCCAGTGTGCCTGAGCGTCACTGTTCATTGCTGCTGTCTGTAAATGAACAGTTGAGTGACAAGGACCCTCACAATGGAAGGCAGAATTTCTATTCTATTTATAACATAGAAAGCAATCATCAAGAAAGTTGGGAAATTAGTGCCAAACTAGTGGTCTAGACTAACTTTGAGGAGATGCACTCACAAGTTTGTAAAGACCTTGAGTTGTCAGAGGATGCCACAGGCAAGAGTGCAATGCATGATTTTTGTTTATTTTTCCCAATTAACATTTCCCAATTAAGGAACACATTCACTATTAGGTAAAGTATGTGTGCTCACACACACATGCATGAAGTTTCAGTTCAGAGAGAATTGGAATTAAATTTATGGTGACTTTAGGTAACATTTTCCTATCTGTCAACTGTGTACCATAACTGTACCTACCTCAAAAGGCTCTTGCAGGGTCGTGCATTGCCTGGTATACTAAGTCCCATCCCACCCATCCTCTAGGCACATAAGTGAAAAGAGAGCATTGTTCGTGCTTTTGCATATATGGCAGTATGGTATTCACTGTATCTCTACAGTAGTGTGGGGCACAATTCAACACTGTTAAGGACATGTCTGTACAAAGTTTGATTCACTCATCTGGTCCACCCAACTCCAGGAGTCAGGGCTAACTAACTTCATCTCACAGAAAAAATTAGGGCACAGAGATTCCAAGTATCAGATGTCACCTAGATACTAAATTCAAGACTCAGTATTGAAGCCCAGGTCCTTTGGGTTCGGAGTTCATTTGCTCAACTCTTCCATCACGCGGAAAGTGGAGGACTAATGCAGGTCTCAAGAGGACACTGTTGAGTGTCAGGAAACACAATGCTATGAGATGCTACTATACAGCTGAGTACACATAATACCATAAGCATTAGCCATTTTCCTGTTGCTGTGGAGGATCTCACCAGTTGTACCTGAATGAGTTGACCTTTATTTATTTATTTATTTATTTTTGGTCTTTTTCCTTTTTATCGGTACCGGGGATTGAACTCACGACTGCCTGCTTGCAAGGCAGGCGCTTATGCCGCTGAACTAAATCCCCAGCCCCAAGCTGACCTTTAGAAAAGCAGTAACTTGGGCATCTTCAAGTGACTGTGGCTTCTTGGAGCCACCATAACAATTAGAAATGTGGGATTGCTTATTTATCATGCTGTTTCTCACATCGGAGTGTCCATTCCATTTGATCAAATTAAAGTGCACATGGCCCAAAGAAGCTTTTGGATAGTTTTTATTTATTGTGTCCTCTATGAACAAAGCAGAGCTATAGCACAGAGGCTATGTCAGATGGGTGGAGTGGAGGCTCCCAGAGGATGATACCGTCCACAGACACTGAAGTCCTCATGAGCAGCAGCAAGCTGTGCACATCAAGGCCCTGAGAACCTGGCTGGTTGGAGTTGGTGTGGGGACCATAGAATGGGGCTCAAGGTGCCATGAGCTGTGCTTTGTGACAGAGAAAGCCATGCAGTTTGCCCACCGGTTGAGAAATCCTTATGTCATACTGACAGTGTGTACACAGCTTTTAAAAGCTGAGCCCATCAAATGCTGCAGACCCTCAGTAGACGCTTCTGGGGACAGGAATGGTGGAGACACTGTGGTCCTGTGTGTCTCCATCTGTCAGGTGCTCTTTCCATAACAGAAGTCAGGGTACCTTCTGCACAGACAGTAGGTGTTGAGGGCCCCGTGGACGGCACTCTTGAGGAGCAGCAGGAGGTAGGTGTAGTAGGCAGAGGTGCTGGTGACCTGCAGGTCCAGCAAACCTACGAGAAGTTGGGTCACGAGTTTCAGCTGCGCAGGACACCACTGGGAGCTGAGGTCTCTGATGACCTGCGCTGATGTGACACCACCCCTCACACCCAAACCCAGAGGTCAGCTTTCACCACTTTGTCTAGGACCACCAAGGGCAAGATTCACTCACAACTCAGCTGGAGTAAAACCTAAGCTCAATTCACTTAGAGCTTTTTTTTTTAATATTGGAAAGTTAAATTTTTAGTTTCAATAGAGGTCAGTTTTTGTGAAAACTAGGTTGGAGGACTTTTTTCAGCCCCAGTGTATCTCTAAGCAGTAATTAGAGATACATTCATCAACCACTAGTGAAATATTACTTATATTTGACAATTGGAAAGAGCAAATTGAGAACTTGATGTAAATATTTAAATCTTTTTTAATCCATAAAGCCACCCATGGGAGAGACAAATTGTTTTTATTCCTATATTGCAGAAGGACTGGGGCACAGTAAGAAGTAATTTTCCTAATGTCATGCACTTAGTAACTGACAGCCCCGAAATTTAACCCAGCAATATGGCATTGAAGATCTTACTCTTACCTGCTCTGTGATTCTGGAACTCTTCAAGTCCCATAGAAACAACACAGCAAAAGTTTAAGCCTAAATTGACGTGGTGGCTTAGAAACATGCAAACCATTATACATTGAGAATGCATTGAAATCTGTGGCAAGGTACAATCCATGGGAAATCTTAGTGCTCCCAACAGGATGGGTGGGAGACTGTAGAAGAGGGTATCATAGAAAATGTAAGAAAGAGTGTCGTTAATCCAAACTCTAAGATGCTCAGTGTTTGTGGTGTGTTCCCTTATCTTTTCTGCAAAGTTATCACTGGGGCTTTGATATTACTGGGTAATAGCAGCTGATAACTTTTGAAGTTTTACAAGAAATATATGATGTCTGAACTCAATGACAGTGGGGTTACAGCAGTAACATGAGTCACAAGGCCAAGTCTCTCCCTAGGCGACTTTTAACTTTACACCATCTATTTTCCTAGAGTCAGAACTCCAATCATTAGCTCTGGTATAGAAAACTGTGTTCCTAACTCCCTTCCCTTTGTCAGGGGATAGTTACTGCCTTCCCCATTGCTTTGTGTGGCAGCTGAGGTCCAGAGCTCTTTGGAACTTAGGAAAGGTTGCCAGGGAGAAGCCAAGTGCTTCAAGTTACATTCTTTTGGCATAGATAAGAAAGAAAGCCTGGCAACTAGGGCTTATTCTGAGCTGGCTTAGTGGATATCCTGTGCCAGACGTTTCTTCTCCAGGCCTTGTTTCTTCAGTGGCTGAGCATTTGGTGTAATCCTCACAAGTGACATCCTTCCCCCATGTTCCTACAGCTGATTGTCAAGAGACCTGGGCTGCACCCAGTCTGTGCTGCTCAGAAGTCCATGCACTTCACACCATGCACTTCACACCTTGCTACATGTCCTTCTTGTTTTGGGGGCTCAGGTTTGGAGTTTCTTGCTCTGTGACTCAATCACAAAGGAAGGATGAGTAAGGAAGGATATAAGCTCTTCACTGGAGAGTCTCCATTGGAACTTCCAGTCTAGCTGGATGGCATGGGAAAGGGACTTAGTTTTAGCTCATTATTTTCATCTGTAACATAGGGCAATAACTATTATACCATGAGATGGAACAGTATGAGGATTAACCAAAGAAATCCGTAGAGAGGACATCCATATGCTTATGCATAAAAATACTTGGCAAGTTCAAAGTCACATTACTAGCAACTGGCAACTTTCAAAAACCTAGAGGGGCTGAGGGTCTAGCTCAGTGGCACAAGTGCCCGCCTAGCAAGCACAAGGTTGTGAGTTTGATCCCTGGTACTCCACCCCTCAGCAAATAGGTATTAGCAAAAATCTAGAATTAACTTGATATTATGCTTTTTCTGGTCATAAGAAGCAGGAGACACATGAACAAAGCCCTTTTGTTGAAATAGTTGAGTATATTGTACACTCTCTTTGAAGTTATATCATGCACAAATTAGTCATTTACAGAGTTAAAACGATGCCTATGAAAAGATATATGAATGTAAAATGTTACTCAGTCTATCTTGAAACATCTAGCCATTGTGGTTTTTCTCACTTGAGCTATGGCAGTTCAAGTTAAGATGATTAAGAGGAAAACCCACTGAAGCACGGCATTAAGAGGAATAGACAATACGACTTACCATTTTCATCATTCATGCAAGCTTCAGGTTTAGAAGTACTCCTAACTAGAAGATAAGAGAACAGGTACTTGTCAGTTATTCCTGTCTATTTGGCACTGTCTGTGTGTGCGCATGTGTGTGCGTGCATGTGTGTGTGTGTGTGTGTGTGTAAAGTTTTCTGACAAACACAGGAGAGGTATTCAGTGGTATTAATAGACACTAATACCAGTTGAGTGCACATTGCTGGGCCAGGAACTGTGTACATCTTTTGGATTTTGTTTAATTCCTTAACAACACTTAAGAGTTGTATTCTGGATGCTTCTGTGTTATTGAGGAGAAAAAAAAAAGGGTAAGATAAATCATACCCATGGAATTTCAAATCCAGTATTCAAAGGACAATGCGATTAAAAGGTAGAACATAACTCCACAGCCATAGACTGGGAAAGTCCTACTATTTTTATTGTTTATAGCCAATGACCACTTGTATCGTAGCAGCTGAGTATTTCGGTGCCAGGGCCATTTTTCAGGAAATAGATAAGCCCAATCACAGTTTAGGCTCACTGAATAAAACTTGAGGTGAGAGCTGTATTTATGTACAATTAAAGACAAAGCTAGAATAGTTGATATCATTCTTTTCCCCAAGAAGTAGAAACAATAGGCACAAAAATGAATGAAGTTCCTTGGCTGAAATAGTTTAGAACATTTTGCTGTAGACTCTCATTGGCATTACTTTCCTATCAAGATTAGTAGTTTACTGTGTTAATATGGTGCCGAGGAAAATATACATTCGTTTAAAATGTCACTCAGTCTGCTTTGGAGCATCAGTCATTCTGATTTTTCTACCTTAACTCAGGGAGGTTCAAAAGTTAAGATGGCCAGGAAAATGTAAAAATCTGCAGCAAGAGATCCAGTTAAATACACTTGAAATTACCAGTTTTGTCTTTCCAATCAGGTTCTCTGGAAGTAACAATCATGACTAAAAATACGACTAACTAGGGTTAATGATTCATGCCACAATTTAACAATATGTGTACGTGTATATACATATGAGGCTTGATTGAAAAATAAGAGGAATGTTGAAATTTTTAAAAATTCAATACAACAAAAGACACAGTGCCTTGAATTTCCCTCAAAATATCTCCCCTTGCTTTGAACCCACTTGTGACATCATTCTTGCCACCTTCTGAACCAGTTCTGGAAGTCTTCTTTGATGAGAATGTAAACTACTGCAATTGTTATGGAAATCAGCATGGAGATTCCTTTAAAAACTAAAACTAGACATTTCATTTGACCTATATATTTTCCTTCTAAGTAACTTCCTGAAAGAGTTAAGACATCATATTACACCGACAACATGCATATCCATGTTCATAGTATCAAGACCCATATTAGCTAAATCTTAGCAGTTAGCTGAATGTCAATAATGTATTTTTGACTAAGTAAGAAAACATCAGTCTCTCTTCACTGCAACAGAACGACCCTTGACACTAACTCCTAGACTGGTCACATTCCCACTCAAGCCTGGAAAACACTGGTAGTACAGTAATCATTTGTGCTGCCTTTACTAAGGGAAGGAAGTATATTCATCATGGAGAAAGGAAATAGTTTCATATACACTAGCCTTGCCCAAGCTTAACAGGAAATTTTGTCTAACAGTGATAAATTCAACAACACTGTAAAACTGCAGAAACCATGATTACGCTATACTATGTTGAGCTGGTTTTGCACTCTATTAAGCACTGTTTTGTCAAAAAAAAAAAAAAAACCTTATACATTAAACTTTTTGTATAGCAAGACTGTGCATGGGCTTCTCAAGGCACAAAAGTATTCTTTCTAAATCAACTAAAGTCATCCAAAATGAAAGCTCCTTTTCAGTGTTTGTCAAGTTCTATGCTGCTAGGTACTTTCACATATGCTGTATCATAAACCACAGTCCAGTTACTGAAAACTTCAATGATTTAATATTCTAGATGTTAAAACTGAAGCTGAGAAAGTTTATCTAAAAATTTGTTTGTTTTCTCCAAAGCCTCTGCCATTGTCTTTCGGTGAGTAAAACAGTGGGACATTTATGCTATCATTAAAATGTAAAAAGATTTGAGTTACTTTTGTTTTTCATTAGTTCTTGATAGAAAAGGTGGAATATTACTACTATTAAGTCGGGTTATTTGGTGGTGAAGCACTAGGTTGCTGAAAGTGTCATGCTTTAACCTGTATTGTTATGTTCTTATGCCCCCTTTTATCTCATCCTCTCCCTTATTCATTAAAAAATTATTTAATTTTTTAAAAAAAATCAACCAATAAAAAATGCTCCTGGATCTGTAGGAAAAAGAAACCCTTTACAACTGTTGGTTAGAGAGTAGACTAGTACAAATACTGTGGAAATCAGTGTGGAGATTCCTCAAAAAATTAGGATTAGAGGTCCCATTTAATCCAGGTATTCCCCTTCTGCGTATCTTCCCAGAAGGATTGAAAAACATCACACCACAGTGACATATGTGAAACCATAAGGTTCAAAATATACAATAGTCACTGTGAAATGGAAGGAAACTGTTCAATAAAAAGAAGAAACTAAGATAGGGGAAAAGAGAAAGGATAGAAGGGAAAAGAAAAAAATGCAAGTTAGTTATACCATTAGTGTCACTTAGTTCACTGAATAGGAAAGGTTGTGCTAGTATTGATTGATGAAATTTTTATGCCCATATTTTGTACTTGAGTGACTAAAGATAATGATGTGCAATTTATCAATAATTGTTACTTTTTCATTATTTTGTTGTGAAAATTTGTTTTACCTTTTCTTCTTAATATTAACAAATAAAGTAGTTAAAAAAAAGGTGGAATATTCCCTTTCAAATATACTTTCTGTTATGCATACTTACTTTGGTTTACTGGAGGAAAGAGAATCTCTTGATCAACTCTTCCTTGATTTTTCTCATGTTTGACAATACATTTGTGCTCTTCATCCATGGAGACTCCCGTCACTGTTAGCCAGCTAAGTTTTGTGTAGGTGTCATTAGTCTTCATGGTGTCTCCCTCCTGGGATTTAAGGATTGTATTCCCATCCTTCTCTTTCCAATATACCTTAATAACATCAGGGAAAAAATTCTCCAGAAGACAAAGATATGTCCCAGCCTTATCGCGATTTCTTTCAGCAACTGAAGGAAGAAAAATTGTGGGCTTGGGGGAAATGTCTCCATCAGAACTTTTGTCTGTGGGTAAAATGGAATATCAACAAAGAAAATTATTAGATAAATTTAAATAGTGAATGATTTGGAAAAGTCTCAAGCATAGCAAGGGGGAGACAGGGTACCATTGATTGTATGCCTACTGTGAACTTTCACCCCAAGGTTGCAATTACTGCCCTTACTTTATGGATGTGCAAAGAGGTTTGAGGGGTTAAGCAACTTGCAAAAAGTCACCACTACAAAGTGATGGAGCCTGAAGCAAACCTGACTTTTGTCCTTTCTTTACAAACTAAGATGTGTGACATTTAACTGTTCGTAACCAAGGCTTCCAACATTCATGAACCCATTTAAATTTTCACATCTCCTTCATTTTCTCATTGGTTTTCATGGTGGATGTCAGCATACAGGGAGAGACTAGGTCCTCTGGATGATCGCTCTACTGATGAGGATTCCTTGTAAGGAATCCTCTATTACATCCTTTGCCTTGTGTCCTCTTTGAGCAGGAATTCACACCCTCCTGCTCTGCAATTCTATTTAATCCACTCTTCGCTTAGCTTATTCGAACATGTATCCTATTTATCTAATTTTTCATAGGCATAAATGTCAGAAGGTGGGTGTTTATTTTTGCCTATGATAATACAATACAGTCATTTGCTTTAATGAAGATGTGCTTCTACATGTACTAAGAGTCTATCAGTTGGATCTCTGGGCTCCAACTGTAGATCCCACATCCACTCCAGAGTTCTCCAAGTTCTCCTAGTTAATCTCTATTGTTATACAAAATCTCACTTTTACATCTAAACGACCATAAGTGTTTCGGAGCAGGTAGTGTTTAAACTGCATTTCCGCTTATCCATAACATCTTGCCTTTAGAAGAAGAGTAGAGATATTTCCACAGTGTGAAATAAAAAGATTATTTTTAATTTTCAACAGTGCTCCTCAGTTAGTCTTACCAATGAATGCACTTATCCAGATTCTATTTTGCTTTGGGAAATGTTCACTAAAACCACACTTTATTTTAGAATTTCATTTGAAGTTCAAGCATTACTAACTGTACACCAGAAGTGCCTTTGTGTACTTGTTCTAGTAAAAACTGAGCCCATGAGGGAGAGGATATATATAGAGAGATGCATATTCATATTTTGACTGTCCCAAAATTAGTACCTTCCCATGGCTATGCTGTATTTTGGGACTTCTTTTATTTTCTTATCCTATCCTGCTAAATAAAATGTACATACAACTGGTACAATGTTGAAAATTTAATTCCAGTGTGTGTTGCAGATACATGTCAAGCATTAACACAAAGCCTCATCATTATCACTGGTACTATCACGGGTAACACATTTTTAATTTAATGACATTATAAATGTTGGAAGGCTTTCTAATTTGATTGGCCAATATTTTCATAATACTAATTTGAAGTTATAACAACTCAGTGGGTACATTTTTGAGAAAAGATGAATTCAGTTTCTCATTTGAAAAGAAAGGGCAAATGGTTTTGAGGCTCTCTGCCTAGTTCAGCAAAGCTCTTGATTTTTTTACAGACTAAGCATACTTGTCAATATTTCTGAGCATGTACTAAAGACAACTGAGTGGTAATGTGCTTATTTTATTGGCATCTTGCTTTTAGTGCAAACAGTATTTCTCCAGCCATACACATTATTTGTAGAAATTTATTTTATGTTATAAAAATACTACATTTTCAGTTGTGCTTTGTAGTATTTCAACCGAAGTCAATATATTAAATTAATTTCCATCATAAGAGCTTGTGTTTCTTCAGAATGCTTTATATTCGTTATAAAAAAGAAACTGAAAATCGGTTGATTAACTGGAAAATATTTGTACAGTATGCTCTTTTGTCTCTTTTCCTTAGAAATATTCTTTTGAGTATCATACTTCTGAGGAAAAATATAAATTTTTACCTTCCATAACTTTCTCATTACAATAGATAACTAAGCATTAGTGTACTTGATTTATATGGTTATTACTTACATTCTGGAGTTTTATATTACATTGTCTTTTTAACATGACTTTTAAATATTAACTTTTGTGAAAAGTTTTATGATGTACAGTGTCATCCATTTTATCTTATTTAAATAACAAACAGGATACTTGCTATATGCTTTATTTATTTAAAAGATACCTGATTCATTTGTATCTGTTTATTTACCTACTTGCACCATACATTCTGAGTTAAATTCCTTAACTTTGTATTTTAACATGTAGTAATTTAGATTATGTATAAATTTGTCAATATCAATGGCATTTTTTCTCAAAGGTATGATATTCAAAATCTACATATGAAAGTTTGTATGTTCTGGTTTTTTGTTTTTTCTTGAACCACATGGTTACAGCTATTTTATATTTAAGTGCGTATTCCAGATTGATGACTAGTTTGCAACTATATTTAATGGTAACTTGAACATTTTCCGTATGAATATAAAGGTTTTTTTTTTTTTTTTTCTGACCAATATAGTGAGAAGCCTAATTTTATTGGCTAAAACTTTGGGGACTAATTAAGACTAATTTTAGAGACATTAATTAAGATAAAGACTAGAGATAGGACATAGAACAAGACAATTTTTAAAAAATATCCTTGCAGTTTCATTTTTCTTGCCAACTGGTGGAAAACTTCGAAGGAGAAACAAGTATCTCTAGATTCTATTTCGTTTTGTACGAACAGATGTTAAAATTAACCTTTTGTTTGATCAGCCAGGTGTGCAGCTAAATCCTATGGAGAATTTCTGCTCTGCAAATTAATTTGCTGAAAATCATTCTCCTTATTGGATAAAACATCATTTTTACATTTGAATTGGAAGGACATTTATCAGACACCTGATACATGTTGGACATTGTCCCAAGAGTTTTGCTCACACAATTTCACTCAATTGTTACATACCCTTGGTTCATACTGGTTTAAACAACTCAAACCAAAGAATGATCACCGACATCCACTATACTCTGTGATGTAGCTTGTGCTTCAGATCTGCCTCCCTGAAAACTCAAACTCTCACAATACACTTGGCCATGAGAAAAGAGAATGAGTCCTCTTTAGTAATTTATCACAGACATTAAATAATAGTGAACTTTGGCCCAGGGCCAACATTATAGTGGTATCATGAAACGTTACCTGTAAGCACTTTATGAAAGTTCACAGGTCCCTTCAACTAAGCACTAATATTTGCTCAGACAGCATTATCTACAGGTTCTTTTAGTATATATATTTGTATCAAAATCTCTAAGATTTGTACATCAAATTTCCTTCAAATTCCTCTTTTTTTTCTAAACATTCTTACTGTTATTCAAAAAAAATCAAGTTGTTTCTTCCCTCTGCTTTGGAAATATCTTCTTCAGATACTCACCTATGACAACAAGTTTGGTTCCTCCACCGAAGACTTTCTTAGCATAATTCCACAGTGATTAGACCCTTATCAAAAACTGAAAACTATTTTAGTGACCCTGACTTCTTTCCATCCTGGGGAAGCAGGGTGGTCTGGAGTTTTGTAGACATCAGGCTTCTGGTTCTGGTTCATTTTCCTCATAAACAGTTCAGAGGCTGTGCACATTGGATAACTGAAATTTTGGGGACTTTATTTTGTCTTAAAAGAATGTTAGACTAAATCACTTCTACATTACTACCAGCACTGAAGTGATACCAAAGTGAAACAAAGTATAAAGAGCAATTTGATTAATGATACCACTGGAACACAAGAGGACATTGTTACTATCATTGTTACTGTTAACAACTTCCAACATGACATTTTAATCTCACAGAACAAAACCTCACCTTGGAACCCCCACATTCTGAATTGCAACTAGATCCATGGCATTGAAAATAGGAGATGCGTTCATCCGTTCTGAGTTAGCAGTTGCTTTGCTCTCATATTCCTGGAATTCTCAAAGCCACCATCACAGGAAACATGCCTCTTATATACCCAAATTTTAATAGGCTCTCACCTATCTTTCCTGCGCATTAACATAATGAAATGTAGCTCTGTTCCAGCTAGCATGTGAGTCGTAGTGTGGAAATGCTTTACCTTGTAATCAGACAGATAATGTTGTAAAACCATGCATATTATTTTCTAATCACATTTAGAAGCAAGTACTGTTAATCTTATAAATAAAAAGCAAGTTACACATACTGGCCATTTATTCTAATATGAGATCACATGGTGTTTAAAAAATTTATCTGTATTCCTGAGTTTATATAGGTCAATAATGAGTGGTAATTTGAATTGCAGAAAAGAATTAGTAACCATGTCCTACCAACTGCCAGCCACTAGGATAGGTAATTTCTGTATTTAATTTCAATTAACCCTTATAATGTCTCCTTGCAGTCAATCACAGTTTTATTGCACACATAACTAGAAATGATGTATTTTAAAGTTTTCTGAGTTATCAAGTAATTTTAAGTACATGTGAAAAATGTTAAATAGTGTTAAATATAAATCAACCAGATTACAAAAATCAAATATATATTAGATGAAACACTTGAATGAAAATATAACAAATTGATAATAGTGATAAGTGACAATGTGAATTTAAGATCTTTAAATTTGGTGCATTTTACATTTTTTAAATGATTAGCAAGAATTTTAATGATTTTAACAAAATAATCATTGTTGAATATAAATTTCCTTATTAAAGGATAAAAATAGAAAGTGACAGTCCTCAAATATCATATTCTAGAATCAAAGCTATATCTATCCTTGTACTCCTAAAAATTATTTCTTATAGAATTTATGAATTATACTGTATCATTAATTTTGTTGCTATAAATGAATACTTTAGAAAAGGATTAAAATTTGCTTTCAATTTATAAGTTAATTTGTTCATAATCTCTATAACCACTAAAGAAATAAACAATATAATGCGTTGGCATTTTTCAGTGCTTTATTAACTTAATGAAAAACATCTCTAAAAGTTTCCATTTCAGGCTAAATAACCATCCCTTAGATGAGACGTTCTCCCTCATTCAAGCAAAACTGCATTTTATAAGATTAATTAAAAATGAACACACTGAATGAACTGTTGATTTGTATTTAAAAACAAAGTGAACTTTTTGCCATTCTTGAATATGTCACAAAGAGAAAGGTTTTGACAGTTGATATTAAGCATTCTAGGGTCAAAGTAACCCAATATTTAATTTTTCTATGACCATATGATGACTTCAGCAGATTTAAGTTTTGTTTTTTTCCCCACCATTTTTAGAATCAAGCAAGTAAAGTATAGAATCTAAACGAATTTATGAAATCTTTGCAACAGTGGTTCTTTCTCTGTAGATCCTCAGTGCCTCTCAACTCCTTGCTTGTATCTCCTCCGCCAGGTCAGGGAGAGTACAGCCTCTTATGAGCTGGACTAAGTCACCTGGCCTCTGCAGAGATCCCACTTGATGAGAGACCAAACCAGGTGTCATTCCAAGTACGTGAGCCAGACCCTGCCCTGGGGCTTGGGGCACCTGTATTGCTGTCTCTCCTCCCCATACTCCTTGCAGAATGGAAAGGAAATTTACCTGGAGCTTTATGCCAGGATCAAAAATTGACAATTCTGCCTTTCATTTAGGTACTGCCTTTAAAGCTTCTATAAAATTTTTCATTTGCACTTCTTTCAAAATTCTGTCAATATTTTTAAAATTGAAAATTGGCTTTTCTGAAATTAAAAACAAAGCTTAAATACAATCAATTTTATCTGAGTATGATAAGGAATTTAAGTTCCACTCTGCCTAGGGAGCTTGGGTATGGCAGTTACTTTGTATATTTTGAAAGTCTGAGTGTAACCTCCCTCAGAATTTGTTAGAATCTTCTAAATCTCCTCCCTTATTAAATTTTCATATATAAAATCAATTCTTGGCCTGCAGTATAATTTATAATTATTTAATAGCTCTTTAGTTTCAAAAAGAACCAATAATAATAATAATCATATGTTTGAGCATTTGACAATTCTCAATATGATTTATAGGTGTTTTGTGATTCATATGCATGGACATCTACATTGATTATAAAGCAATTTCTGTTTGGAATCCAGTTGCTCTTGATAGAAGACTTACCAAGTTGTTCCAAAATGACAGTACTCAGTGATGATCTAATAAGCAGTTTATGTTCTGAAGCTAATATTGCATCAGACTCAGATAAAGTTGATGGTAAGTCATTTTTTCTTAAGAACATCTGTCAGTTTTTCACTCTTGAGGTAAAAATGCAAAACACTACTTACCAGGAGCAGTTACGATGGGTTTAGTCCTTCTGTAAATCTCTTGATCCAGCCTGCCCTGTTCACACTGGTCACAGTGTTCACAAATCTTAACTTTCACTTCAGCATTTATAACATCATGAGTAGTTTAACAGCTTTGTGCTGGTATCAGTTTTCTCTGAGTTCCTTTGAAAATTCTTGAATGTAGATTTTTTGGCATAATAGAGTTTCTAAGTTTCTTCCTTAACTGACTTTATAAACTGCATTTCTATTAAGGCAGTGATTATTGGAAAACATTAGGAAAAGTAAAAATAGTAAAAGTAATAGGAAAATAATAAAAATAAAAATAGTTTTGTGGCATAATAATTTGTAACGTTCTTCATAAACTGACTTTATAAACTATGCATTTCCACTAAGGCAATGACTGTTGGAAAATAGTAGGGAAAATAAAAACAGTAAAAGCAAAAAAAAGAAAAAAGAGCTCATCCAATTTGTCAACCTACTTTTCTAAGTTACTAGGCAAATCATTCTGGGAAGTAAGTTAGGTTTTTTGTTTAGTTTTTGTGGTCTTGGATTTTAATTTCCAGGTGTTCAGTTGTGTTGAAACTACTCAGAAATTGCATCAAAGGAAAAGGCATTAATGTTCTCACAGGAAAAAGGGCCTCTCTATTGGCAATTTGGGAATAAATTTCTGAAAAGAGGAGGCTCATTAGTAACTGAAAATAAAAATATGTCGACACTGTTGAAAAATATGAACCAAGATCTCCATTTTGAATAAAGCCACATTTGCCAGGTAGCATGAAGATTCATTATGAGGACAAAAGCAAAGGAGGAAATTGGTTCTGTGACAACTTCCTGTTCTCTTCTTATCTTTTCTATCTTTCTGTCTTTCTTTTCTTTTTTTGCTGGAATAACAATAACGTTTAGAATTATGTCTCCTGTGAAATTGCAGATTCTTTGTTTAAATTCTAATGTGAAAAACGTTCCAGTCTTCTTGGCATTGGTTTTGTATTCTTATGTCACTCATCTTAGAGTGAAGAACAAAAAATTGTCAGAATCTCCCACATGCTCCCAGAGAATAGGTGAGGCGTCTAACTGTAAGGATCCAGGAGAACAGAGCCTGATAACCCTCATGTCCACTCTAGGCCCACTATCACCCAGGCAAAGCTTCAAGAATAGACATGGTCTCTCCTCCTAAGTATGGAGAGAGGAAGGCAGCTATAGTGGACTGTGAATGGATGTGGTGCAAATCTACTCTGAGACACAAGGCAAATTCTTAGCTGTAAACCATACACCAATCAAAAAGCAACTTACATGATTCCAAGAGACAATTATACAAGGTAAACATTCCCATTACAGAAGGAAAAAATAGGGAAATAGAAAAGAATTGGACCAAAGCAAGACCAAAGCCCAGAAATTATTAAGTCTTACAGTTCTACGTCTGGCATCCAGAGCACATGATAGGGTGATGTGAGTTGTAGAGGGCTATGATCACAACTATGCCCCTTTTTGTTGCATATACAATGTTTGTTTCTTGCACTGGCTCCACTCACTGCCTGTGCCTTTCTTTGGGTGATGTTCCACGTACCTGGCATCATCATCATCTTCCAGAGGTCTACTCTGCATCTTTAGTTTCCTTTCAGAACTTCACATGCCACCCTTTCATGGGCTTCTGGCAGAGACTGACCTTGGCACATTTGCCCTGCCTCCCAGACCTTCCTTTGAAATTCAGGTGGGGATCTTCACGACCCCAAAACGTCTTGCATTTCCATGCCTAAAAAATTTGCTCCATGTGGAGGAGCCCAAGGGTGCCAACAGCTTGAACAGTAGCCAGTCCACTTTGGATCTCTGAGTATCTGCAAAGCTGAGCCCAGTAAAATTGAATCCCAGGAAATTAATTCCCTGGATGACCATTGGTGACCACAGGCCCAGGGAGTCTCTTCTGAAATGAAAGCTTTACACTGTTACACCTCTAAGCCTGTGATAGGTGAGAGTCTTTATTATTCCTGAGATATCCTCAGGTCATTGTTCTTCCCGGTTTTGTAAAAAGTACTTGGCTTCTTTTTAATGCCAAAATAAACCTATTCTTCTTTATGTAGTGTATGACAGGTACTTTGCTTTAACAGTGAAAAAGTGATCATTCTCTCCAGCAACTTCACCTTTTTGGGTCCAACTTTTCATGTAAATCTTTTTGATGTAAAATTTAAGCTTTTCAAATCTTTCTGCTCCACTTTTTCTTCACATTTCTCCCTATAAACTCGGCGAAAAACAGCCAGTAATATTCATACCACAGCCTGATTTTTGGACTGACTTGAAATTTCTTTTGCCAGATCAATTAGTCCTTCACTTTTAAATTCCTCCTCACACAAAGTCTTAGCAAATGGGGGAAAATGTAGACAAATTTTTGAGCCAAAATGTGACACACATGGTCTCAAATCCAGTTTTCAGCAGAACCCCTTTCTCAGTTGAAGCCTCATGGACCTGGCCCTTACTAACTACATTCCTATCTGCATTCTGATCTTCTGAGCTGTAACCCAAACTGCCCATTAAGTTCTATTTACAACATTCTGTGGCTTTTGTATCTCACATCTCCAAACTTTTACAGACTTCTCCCACAAATCACTTCCAAAAGCATCGTAAACATGTAATTGTGTGAAGTCACAGCAACCTCACCACTTCCCTGGTATCAATTTTCTATGCTGATCACTTTTTCACTGTTAAGTACCTGTCATACACTACATAAAGAATAGGTTTATTTTGTCTCATGGTCTCAGAAGTTTCAGTCTGTGATTGGTGGGCTCCAAGAGAGTAACACCATGGCAGAAGGGCATGAGTGCTTAGTTCACAACTGTTTAGTTTAGAGCAAAATCGCTTAGTTCATGTCAGTTGGAAATCAGAGCACTTTAGAGTTAATGAGAGATATGTCCTCAAAAGGCATGCCCTCAATGACCCACTTCCCAGTGAGCCCTACTTCTTTAAAGCATGTCTACCCAAAAACTTCAGTAGATTAATCCATTGACTCTAGCACCCTAGTGATCCAATTACATCTTCAGGGCTCTCTTAATCTAATCAGGTTGATGATTAAGGTTAACTGGTTAAAAAAATAGGAAGATCCATTCCATTGTTCATTTCAAAGTTTGGTTGCCATCTTGAAACAAATGGGACTGTGTACATTGTTTGAAAATTTGCCCATCTTCTAAAAACATAGATAACTTTTAATGAAATATGGTACAATAAGTTACTGTAATGGTTATCAGACATTGTGTCAACTTGAGAAGGTCAGAGGTTAACTAAGTGATTCAGGGTCCTTACTTTGTAATATCCTCAGTCCATGTGAGGGAGAGCATGGAGATGGTGTGAGTGCTACAGCTACCCGAGGGGTGTAGCCTACATACAATAAAAGAGAAACGAGGAGGGACTGATTGCTGGTTCTTCAGAAGAGCTTCAGTCTTCACCTTCAGCTTGGACATTGTCTCTTGGCCTCTGGTATAGAATATTCAGCTTTCACTTGGGACTTTTCAGCCTTCTATCTCACATTCTTCAGCATTCCATCATAGACCCATCGGTCTCCTGATACAGGCGTGCATGGGACACTGCAGTAAACTCCAGACCTGGGCTGGATTCTTCAGCCTCCAGAATAAAGACACCCTCTGCATGCTTCCTCATCTAGCTCTGTGGCTGACCATCATGGGCCAATCTTGCAGTTTCTTACTCGTTAGTATATCTTGTGTTATATGCTTCTCTAGTAAACTCTGACTGATATAGTTATGGAGACTTCCAGTAAGGCATATGAAAAGACCATTGCCTTTATCAAAATAAACATATGGCATGTACAAGAGATAAAGTTCATATACTATTTCTATAAACCACTCATGTTCATAGTTTGACATAATTTTGATTTTACTTATACTTAAATATCACCAGATATATTCTACATAAAATAGTGGATCATTGGAAAGTACTGAGTTTACTCATTTAAAAAAAATTAAGAGAGCAGTTTATGGAAGAGGCCAGGTTATTTCACTTTCTAGCAAGATATCTTTAGCTATTTCACTATCTGTGTTTCTTTGGAGTCAGATGACCTTCTAGTTTCTTAGGGATTCTGTTACACTTTGGATAGTCACATGCCCTTACATCTATTACAGATACTTCATCATTTGTGTAGTGCCCACAGACAAATGTGCCTTTGGAGGCCCTGTTCCTTTTTGGAAACAGGAACTGTACCATGGACTGATCAGAACCACAACCTCCCAAATGAGAGGAAAATAAAGGCTTAAATAAATGAAACAAGTGCTATGATTTTAGGGTTCCAGGAGGATCAAATCCTTCTAGTAGAATTTGAGATTCTCTGGAGGCTTACACAAAGAACTTCTCTGGGCTGCCTGTATTTACTTGGTTTTCAAACAAAGGGAGGGAATGCTGAGAATAATTCAGGAACTGAGTAGGATGTTGGGAGTCATTTCAAAGACTTCTCCAAGTAGTAAATTATGCTAATTTAGGAGAACTATCTTATCTCCAGGTTGACATTTATGGCAAGACTGAGACAGCTGAGATGCCTTCTACTGCAGTCTCTAGTTAATTGGGGTTGCAACCAGGTGTCCTCAGCTGTGGTTTTGTCTTGTCCTTTGAGGCATCACAGGCCACTACAGGACTCAGCCAGGAACATTGATCCATAGAGGTTCACCTAGTATGAACCCACTGCCCATCTCCAGACAAGGGACTTAGGCCTGGAATAGACTCACACGTAAACCTAGAAAGCTAGTTGGTTAATTTTAAATCCTGCTCAGAACTACATAGTAGTGGTCCCCATCAGAAATGTTTATTTTTCTCTTCTGTACATGATGCATGAAAGACACTTCTGCATTGAAGAAGCTTTTTTTGTGGAATCAACACTCCACTCTCAGCTCTCAAATCTCCATTCCACTTTCTCTCTCCTTGTTCAAGACTCTCTCATTAGGAAAAGGAAAAAGTTCATAACACAGGGTACACCGTGAGTCAAGCATCATCAACAATTTTATCTCTTTTAGTTGCACCTATTAATCATTATGCCCACTTAAAATCAGATGGGAAACAGGATTCAATGAGCTGGGATGTGAGTTCAACTTTACAAGATCCCAGATCCTTTACATTCAACTGCCATGTCTGAACTATTTCTATACAAAGAAAAAGGATCTGAACTTGGACAGGCTGTATAAGATATTGGACATTGCTTTCAGAGTTATCTTAGAGATTATTAAACTGAATAAAAAGTAGACAAAATGATTGATTTGTATATATTCTAAAAGCCATGCACCAATATACAGTTCTGTGAACACCGTGTACAGCAGTGTAACTGTAAATAATAACATTATACATATTGTAAAAAGCTGGAAGAAAGGATTATGAATATTTTCACCTTAAAGACATGAAAAATGTTTGAGGAAAGATATGTGCTTACCTTTATCATTTTTATGAATCATTATAAAATAAATTTAAATTTAATGAATTATTAAAAAAAAAAAAGAAAATCTTAATTTTTATACACGTGGCAATGGTCATGTCAGGCCATAGCTTTCTTTGGAGTGATTATTCTTGAATGTCCTTAAATCTTATGTCTAATTCTACTAGTTATCTGTAGAGTAAAATATTTATTTGAGCAATATAAAAAGTTTTTACTTTTATGGTGGATATTACGTTTATCGAATGGGCTTACAGTGCTTATAAATTTAAATAATCAGAAGACCTGGCTAAAAATTAATTAATTAACTACAAAAGCAATGGGCAAGCAGTGCAACCATGTAACAATTGAATCTCTCAGTACCTGGTCTAGTTTAACCTGAATATCTAATTATATTCTTCAAATCAGCTTTTCTTTTTCTCTTAGAGATTAAACTGGTAGATTACAGTCTTTTACTAAGTTGTGTACTTTAGCTGGATATTTAGGATAAACTAGAGCTACAGGAATATTGAGCCTTACCTCTCAGTAATGTAATCAGATGGTTATTGTTGTCATGGGTTGCCCATTACCCCACACCTGTTAATCTGCAAAGGACTAGAGTTACAGAAGGGAGTGGGATTCTTTGCAGTGGATCCCTACGATTTTGGTCTAGGCTCCATCTTTACAGAGAACTGTAGTCTAGGGTGGTACCACCCAGGGCGTGTTCTTTGATTTTCTAGCAAGTAAATCACAGTCCCTAGTGTTTTGTCATCTTTCACAGCTCAGATCACAGGAACCTGACGAACACTTGAATCTCCTCTTCTCCTATATCTTACTACAGAGTGGGTAGAAATGTGCAAGTTCTGGGAAGCACCATCCGTGTAACACAATATCCTTGCCATGGGCAAGTGAGGAAGAGAACCAGTCAGTGTCTCCTGGGATCCAGCCATGTTGGAACTTTGGGTGTTGAGCAAGAAAGCAACTTGCCTGTCTTCCTGGTAAGCAGCTGTGGCTCAAGGGAGCTGTGATCGAGTCAGGAAGAGAACCAGTCAGTGTCTCCCATGAGCCTACTGGTGTGCAGGCTGAGAATCAATATCCTATCCCCATCCCTAACCCCCATTAGCAACTGGGAATCAGAGGTCTGAGCATCTCTTGGGAGGATGACAATATAGCAAACATGGGGGATTTCCTTTTACCATTTCTTTGAAGGCAAATATGTTTTCACTGTTTTGCTTTGTTCTGATCAATTGTCCTGCTCTATTCAATATTCTGTTTTAATAGGCTTTATGACGTTCTGTATTTGGTTTGATTTTGCAATACCTGATTGAATGGACAACTATTGTGAAGATAATGAGATATACTATGGTACCTATTACTGTTATCCCGGTATCCTGCTGTGAAGTGCTGTACAATTTCACTGCATTGTCTCGATTGGCTTTGTTCTATCTTGTTCTGTTGTATTTTACTACCTTCACAATTAAAAAAAAAATCCTCACCATTGTGATTTTTTTTTTTTTTTTGGTCTTTTTCCTTTTTATCGGTACCGGGGATCGAACTCACGACTGCCTGCTTGCAAGGCAGGTGCTTATGCTGCTGAGCTAAATCCCCAGCCCCTACCACTGTGATTTATGACAATATTGCTACTTCCTGAGACAAGAAAGTTTGAAGACAAAATACTACATTAGGCTCAATAATCAAATTTTGGCTACTTGCTAATATTCAAACAGAGAGGCATTTGGTTATGAAGCAATGTCATAGATTTTGTTGTATCTCTTCAAAACGTGGCTGGTGGAACCACATGAAATGAAGAACATGAAAAATCCTTAATCACGATAACACATCAAAATACCAACCAGTACTACCAAATTCACACCACCTACGCGAGGACAAAGCACCCGGTGTCACAGTGAACACTAGGAAATTTGGACTTTGGGTCAACATAGCCATATGGAACTGGTGAAGAATTTACATATATACCCATGGGTAGGTCAATATCTACCACGCACATGCCCTAGTTAAACAATTTGTCAAAGAGAATGATGCAATATTATGAGTTCAGAACAGAAAGGAAGCACAGAGATAAAGGGCAGTGCACAGCCATTGGAGAATAGTACAGAGTAGATGGACTGTGGAGTCTGTGTCCTGCCAAATTTCCTTCCCTTCAAAGTAGTGAATTTGGAATGCATTGGGACTACATCAGATCTGCTTGGGACCTGGGGCATCATTTGGGAAGATAAGGCATACGTATCACATCTCCCCTTTGAACAAATATGATGTTACTAAAAGACACAGCACTGACCCAACATTTGCAAGAAACGGAGACTGAGATGGAGGAATACAGACCCACTTCTGTATGTAACTAGCTTGGGAGAAGCCCCTTGCCCAATATGGTCCCCAGCTTTATCAGCTGAGTGACAGAATTGGGCTAATATGTTCCAAGAACCCTCCCAGTTCTACCTTCTGTGAACCCTGAATGGGCATGTTGAAGAGTCACTCTGGGTACACGAATGTCCATGCAGGTGACAAGCACGAATAGGGAGATAGATCTTCCTACAGGTCCCTTTGCCTCTGTGACACTCTGAACCCCAAGTAGGCACTTCAGTATGTGTGTTCATCTGATGGGACAACATTATGATGATCCGGTAAAAGACACCTTGTCTTTCTTATCTGCCTCCATGTGGGAGTCAGGTTGGTCTTGCTCCCACCTGGAGAGCCATAAGGAATCCATTTTAGAGGCTCCATTTCTCTCAGTTGATACAAGAGTACAATGGCATTCTGGAGAGGACCCCACAAAGCTTGCAACTTAGGTTCACCAACCTGTGTGGTCTTTGGGTAAAGAAGGATTGGTTGTAAAATACCATTATGGTGTCTCCATAGAAAAAGCAAGGAAGAGAAAATTAAAACGGTTGATGCTAAGAGCAAAAAAAAAAAAAAAAAAGGAAAAGGGGAAAAATAGTTAAGTCAGCACCCAAACGCAAGCCAAGGCATGAGACAAATCCATAGGGTTGGCATTTCTATAACTAGTGTCAGATTAGACACTACTATAAGCGAGTGTAGATTAGAACCTAGGATATAGTGGCATCAATGGCTCTGAGAGGATGAAACCAGGATAGGAAATGCTTATTCATGTGCCAAGAAACATCCTGCATATGAGACATGGCATATATATACGCTTGGTGTAAGCAATGATCAGATCCCAGAAGACTTCATCAACAACTTTGTTACCCTAATATAATGTGATTTTCTTCTGGCAGGAAGCCATTCCTGATTGTTCTCAGGAATTGCTTCAAAGATACCTATCCTTGACCTCTCTTCATTCTTTGAGTTTTTATCTTTTTTTTTTTTTTGCCATATTGTATAAGCACTGTAGAGTTTCTTGAGTATGGAAGACAGTTTCATGATGGTTTATAGTAATAAATGAGATAATAACTCCATGGTCTGTTGCAATAGTGGGTACATTTTATAGGTCAGCAACTTGCTTAAAGTCCATGGATTGTTCCCTGTTATCAGTTAGTGTAGTTATATATCTTCGATATTATTATATTCTTCCAGTAAAACCTGAAACCTGTTGAAGGAAAAATAAATTGTTTTAACCTTTCGCTTTGTTTCATTCATCAGTCTTGGTTTTTAAGAAAGAAAGCTGTACTTTGCTGAAGCTTGGAGACAGTGCAAGGATGACTTTTCTAAGTATCTGCATTTTATCTGAAATGGCTCAGTGAAGTGATTGAGTCATAAAAGGAAAAACTGGGACTTGTTGAACACGATGCAATTAACTTTCAGATAAGAGCTCATGAAGCAACCCTCTGAGACCGTAAACACTGTGCCCTCTTAAAGCTGGGAAAGCAGAATGAAAAGGCCCAGTAACTTTTCAAGGTCACGATGTCTGAGTGGCTTAACAGGAATGTGGGGTAACTTTGCACAGTAAGGTCACCATAGACCTAACAGGAATGTGGGATAACTTTGCACAGTAAGGTCATCATAAATAATAACGACGTCTTATACATTTCAAAAAGCTGAAAAAGATGATTTGCAAAGTTCATCACAAAGAACTGATGAATTTTTGAGACAAATCTTCTTCATAATGCTTGGTAGCCCATTAATACGTACAACTTTTGTTTTGCAAAATAAGCAAACAATGATAAAGAAGCATACAGAGAAAATACTCAGTATGATCACCCAGAAACAACTACTGATAACAGTTTGGTGTATTCCCTGACAGATGAACTCATGTTGAGCCTTTAAAATGATTGTGTGTACACTTTTATGCTCTGTTATTGTTACTTAGCATAACATCAGAAATACTTTCCTCCTCTGTAGGTCCTTCTTTGCAGTGCTCTAACTATAAGCAAGATTCCTGGGTTCACCTTCCACTCGACTGTCTGATCACTTAGAGATTCACACACTGTCTAGTACGCTTATTATACATGGTCAGTCCCACAGCACACAGGAGCAGAAGAGCCTAGTGCATCACTCACCTTTGAACCTCCATGAGGTCCCAGCCTCTCACTTCTCAGCTTATTACGAAGAGTCACCCTCGATAACCCTCATTATTCTGCTTCATCCTCCCACCCCTGCTGATCACCCTGCACCTCCATCATAAACAATCTACCCCCAGCACCTGAGGCTCACCTGTGGGGGAACCAAACTAAGGTTTGTCCCTTTATAAGAGGCCACAGCTCTTGTTACGCAGCCTTACAACACAGGTATCTGCAGCTGCCACTCATCTCTGTGACTCTCCAGACTTCAAAGTGGCCAGCACTTTGTGCTCCTACTACGGCCACATTGAACAGGTGGAACAGAATCTATATGATCTTCAAAACCAAAATTATTTACTGTCTGACCCTCACAGAAAGAAAACACCAACTTGTACTTTAGAGCAATTAAAAATAAGATTTAAAAAATTGTATTTTGCTTCTATTTTACTTCAGGGGCTCACCACTCATTTCTTTCTGTAGATTATATGTAAATGCCCAGACATAGTGGGTCTAAATAAAAAAAAAACTTCTTACTGAAAAAGATATATTGCTGATATATGGCTGCTAATCTTTAAAATTCTGTCCCCTCACTTTGAACACAGTTCTGCGCTTAGAGGGGAGAAAAGGAGCGTGTGTGTGTTCCAGTGACCGCAGGATCTACCAGGGAACCAACAGGTGGGTGATCCGTGCTCCGACTCTGTCCATGTTGATAAAGGTCAGTGTGAGATTCAGTTCTGAATTCAGAATTTTTCCCTTATTAATTTCTACCATGTTTGAAGGTAGACTTTAAGAATGCAGAAGAGGAATTTAATTTTTAATTTTTTAACATTTTGTTCTAATATTCCTTGAGAGTGTGCAACTACTAGTCTTGAAATAAACATACAATCATTAGATATATTTGGTGAATGACATTACCTTTGCTCTGTATAGACAGATCAAGCACCCCAGAAACACCTCTCTTTTTAACTGTCTGATCCTCATGTTCAGGATCTGGGTTTTTGTTTTGTTCAGCATTCTGAAGACAGAGTCTTCAAGGACTATGTGGATTGAGCTGCATCCTGTTGCCAAGTCCAGAATGTGTCCTTGGATTTCCCTTAAATTCTAAAGAGATACCTCTTTACTTACGATCCTGCAGGTATCCTGTAGAAACCTAGTCACCAGATGGAAGAGCGACTGACTTTCTACAGGATGCCTGCAGGATAGTAACGAAAGGTTCGCAGTTTCTGTGTTTGACAAGTAATTCTACCTCTATGAACCACTAATGCTCTTGAATGAAATAAGAAAATAACAAGAACAGGTCACATCTCTGTAACACATACCTCTCTCTCTCTCTTGGCATGTGCCACTCTGCTGCCCTCATTTTGAATCACTTAGTTTCTGGAAGTCTGTATACAGTTCCTTGTTAGTTAACTAGACTGTGCTGTGTGTAATCCTCCTGGTATTGTCAGAGTTCCTCCACGGCCTCATTTCATAGGGAATAGTGGTGAATAGTCTTTGATTTGAACCATAACTGACCCAATGGAGGACTCTCTGGAGGGACAGAATCTGAATCCCCACGGGCAGCTGCACAAGGGCTGCACGGAGGAAACTAACCCTGACATCAGCTGAGCACTGATGTGGTGACCATATGGAAGGATGTAGGTGGGCACAGACCCAGAGGTGTTCTTGTGAAGGTTATTCTGACAACTCTAACACTGTGAGGGTCCCAGTAGGTGCAATAATATGTGGCCTCATCTTCTTTCTTTAAGAAGTTTATTTTTAAGTGTGATGTGGAAGTGTCATAATTTTTACTTGCCTCAAGTTTCTTGTTCACTCCTCCTAAGGGATATTGATTAAAGGCCGTCCAGACATACATTAGGTGCTCAAACCCTTGTTTTGATTTTTGTCGGTACCAGTGTATAGCTACATTTTTAAAGTTGCTGATGGACGCCTTACAAGGGATGTAGACACTCTCATCTGGTGCTCTGGAAATTGATAGTTCAGGCTGCTCCAGTTGTCCCAGTCCAACTGCAAGCAGAACAGAGGCATTCGTACTGAACAAGTAATATGTAAAGTAACAATAAAGCATAGCTGTGTTCTCTTTGGGAACAGAAAAAATTGGAAATGACTCACAAGCCCAGAGGGAGGAGAGGAGGATAGCTTTCAGGAGCAGCATCCTGTCTGCCAGGCTGGCTTCCCAGGGACCAGGTGAGACAGTGAGGATCCTGTGAGCTGAGGCCATTGATCTGAGGATCAATGACAGGAGAGTGGGGCTGACCTGGGGCTTAGAGGAAGTGGAGGGTCAGGTGATTTCCTGAGGCTCTTTCTGAACCGCTGAGCGTGAGCAGCAGTTCTAAGGTTTCCTGGCTTCTAGGAGTAGGAGAGAGGTCCATGGTGTGCACGGGTCCATCTGAGTTGGACAAGGTTGCCTTTCTAACCCACTCACTAATATCTTCTTTGATTTTGTACTATAGAACTCTTAAAACCCATCCATTGTACTCTGTTCCTAAGCCTGTATTTGTGTTTTGCTCTTAAGACCCAGATATTTAGGCTGACATTCATTTTTCAACAACACAATAAAGTAAAATCAGTTAATAGAAATTCACACTATTTAATTATAGCAGTGCACAGGCAGTATATTCATTTAAAATTCGTAAATCCTCCTGGTATTCAGAGTGATCCAAGGGTATAATTGAAATGTTACAAACGTTTTGTTTGAACAGGTCATGGATGCCCTCTAAACAGTTGTTCATTTTATCTTCATATAGGTTCATGTGTAGTTTTTTGTGATGATCCACCGAGATGCTGAACATGCAGAATAACTAGTAAGTTACCTGGCAGTGAGTGGGAGCTGAATGGATGTGAATCCCATCCTGTCCTTCCCAGCTCTATTTCCCTGAGAACTGTACCATTTCTAGAAATGTCTGGATAAAGAAATCATGGGCCTTCTCTTCTCTCTCAGACATTCAGATAGATTCAGCATGTACAGTCTTAGTAGCCACCCAGCTTAATAGGAAGTGATATCAAATCAGTCATCTGGAATTACAATGCCCACTTCTGTGGGGGTGCTGTTAATAGCCACCCAACTTCCTGTCTTATGCAGGTGTCACCCTGAGGGTGACAGGAAGTGCTGCACATCTGGGCTGAGGCCTGGCAGGGTGCGGGGCTGGACAGAGTAGTCTCACCTTGGGAAGCATGATGTCACAGCTACCACAAATGATGCAAATATTCATTATCTTGGCCCTAGTGACACAGTGGACTCCCACAGGCCAGTATAAGGTCCTAATGTCTTCATCTCCTCTGAATTTTCTACTTAAGACTAAAAGGGAAAGAGACAGGTTTTCATGTATTTCATGGTTGCAGCTCTTGAGTGAAGATTATTTTACTCCAAATTAACTTTCAAAAGTCTGGAGTATGTCAGTACCTAAGTGTGTATTGAACAATTGTATCTGTCTGTTCTTTGGTGAATGTGTGTACTTCCTTTCTGTTACTGTAGTAATGTCTTTTCTAACTAATTTCAACTGTATTTATCCAATTTACATTAGAAACAAAAAAGAAGCATTTGCTTTTAAAAAAATTTTTATTTTAAATGGAATAAAACCAAGCAAAATCAAATAGAATAAAGCCAATCAAAACAAACCAGTGTCACACAGTACTTCAAAACAACAAGAAATCAATGATGGTTATCATAAAGCCTTTTGTTGTCTTCTAAATAGCTGCAGATACCTTCAGACATAGTAAAAATCAAAGCAGAAAAGAATAAAGCCAATAAAAACAAAACAATGAATGCAATAAAGGACTTCAAAACACAATAATAGTAATTCCAAAATGACTACCATAATATATCTTGTTAACTTTGAAATAGCCGCTCACGCTATCAGACAATAAAATCAAACAAAACAAAAAAGAATAAAACCCAACCCAACAAAACAATGAAAATGATACAGGACTTCAAAACAAGATAATAGGGAATTAACAATGGCTATGGCCTTCAAAAGGACATTCCCCCCAGATGCTACATTGCATATTGTTATCCTCTGAATAGATGATCAGATTATTAGCTTTAGACCTGCAAAGCCAGTGAAACACTAAACATGACAAGCACTGAATTACATTTTACCTCAGTAGCTACCATCACAGCCGTGTTCCTCCAGCTCAGCTGGTCTCTAATGGCAGAGGGCGTGTGGAGGGGAGGAGTTGGCTCATCTTGTTTCCCAGCCTTTGCTCTGGAAAGGGCTGGCATCTGGCCCTTCCCACAGTACCCTGAGCACGGTGCCAAATCTCAGGGAGGGCTTGCGGTGACTTCTTGTTCTCTTCCCTCTCGGTCCACGAATGGCACTGCCTCATGAGTATAGTCTGGTGTCTCAAGAGAAGCATTTGCAAAAAGCCAAAATCATCCAGAAATAAAATCTTCATTGTTTAAACATGGCTCCACCTGTGTAGGAAATGAGGGAACACATTTACATTCCTGAGTAAAGAGTTGATGAAAATGTGTAGCCATAGAGTCCTGTCAGCCCAGGTTGTGTGCCTGGAAAGAAAGCTGAAGAGCAAGACATGCCAGGCCATGATGGGCTGGGGCTCCTAAAGGTCAGGAGAGATGGGCATCTCAGGCCCTGCACCCACATCAGTCATTCTGGGGTCAGCAACAAGTGGAGATTTACCCATAGCTAAATGACATCCCCGTAATCAGCCCGTTTGCCAG